AACACAGATCTCTTCCAAGATTCCTTCGCGACGATGATTGCTTAACCTTGGATAAGAACAAAAGCACACAAAAGAAGAAAAAAGAAATCAAGAAAAGGGGTAGCATCACAAAAGAACCTTTGAAGAAGAAGGGTGCTGCTCATTTGATTTGACTAAATTTCTGTCGGGCGCACACGCCCCGGATACGCGCGACGTTCCTCTTCCTTCCTCCTTTCCTCTCTGTTTTACATAGTTTCGGAGAAAGAGAGAGAGAGAGAGAGAGAGAAGCAACTGATGTCACTTCCAAGCTAAGCGGAAAAAAGGCAGGAGGCGAGAGGGCGCGTGATCGATCGTGCACCTCGAAAGCTGAAGGGCGGGCCCCCGCTCGAGGGCCTACGTGGGGCCCACCCGATGAGCAGTCATCATCGCGCACGAACGATCGATCCTTGTCTCGTAACGTAACGTGATCTATCGTCGTGGCATATTCTCTGCTTTTGGGATATCCCCTCCTCTCTTCCGTTTTCTCGGCCGCCCACGAGGGAGGCCGATGCTCGCCAACCATGGTAGCTCCGGCGTCGCGACATCTGCCCGGCTCGAAACCTCGAACGGACTCTCGGGGCATGGCTCGATCCGGTTCAGTTCGAATCGCTCGACTGTCGATCTTCTGAGGAACGGAAGAAGTGGTGGGCTTTGCGTCAACATCCAACTCGACTCCGAAGAAGTAAGCACGTTAACATACTTTTCGTCGCCCGTCGAAAAGAGAGAAAAGGAAAAGATTACTTTTTCCATAGCCAAATCACTTAGCATAAACGTGTGAACGTCCCTTTCTTTTGTTTATCATGTCAATTTCCGACGACGATGCATCCGTGCTAGTATAACTCATTGGTCAAAAGATACCTGCTTTTCATCAAGTGAAGGAACGAGTGCCCAATTCAATAGATTATGTGTTTCGCACGTGAGTTGCGTAAGAATTAGATTAATCAAATCGGGTATATATATTTTTTTGGATCAGGTATAAACGTTTCGTCACTGATATACACTTGCCAAAAGATAATTGAACTCGTGTAATCCATCTTCCCACGACCTATATATATAGTGTGAAATCTCCAAATCCACATAGATTTTTTTTTTTGGGTCAAGTCCACATAGAAATTCGCAAGCCTCTGAATCTCGTATTATAATGGCGATAATGACCATATAATTATGTATATCGCAGTATCGAATTACCAGTTCCTCGAAATCTTATTTTCACAAAGGCGACAGATCGAGTTAATTCAAATTATCGACCTACCCAAAACCTTCAAAATTATGATGGGTTGTCAAGTATTGCTTTGCATGGTGACTAGACTCGTGACCCTGATGAGAGAACAAACAAAGAAACTCGAGATAAGCTTCGGACTTAATAAGCCGATACCCGAAACTTAAAGCCCCGCCAATTAAGGAGAAATTGTCCATTCGATCATAAATTCATTATTGCACGGATGTCAATTCAATTCAAAAATACCATGTGAAATTTCAATATAGCCCTTCCGTCCAATTATCGTCGGAAATTGCAGACCTAGGACGGCCAGTAGTGACCGGATTCATCGGCTTTTGGGTTTTTTTGCCTCAGAAAGTGATGGCCCTTCTGTTTTTCCAAATGTCACATTCCAAGTCGCGTCGGACCGATGGTGTGCAACAGGAAGAGGGAGTAGGGCGGGCATAATGTGGCCTAAGCGCAAAGGCAGAAGAGGGAGACACGAGAACTGCAGACCGACAGAGTCTGCACCCACCGGCCATCACTTCCTGGCAACCCTCCGAGTCCCGTGCAATGAATGGCCCCGCATGGTCGGTCCATACCGGAGAATCTCTAGCCCCCTCCCCACCACCCCTTTTAGCTTCTGCACGTAATGTTTTAAGGGCATGTAAAATTTCTTTTATAATTTTATTTTGTAAGAACAGGACCCTCGAACAATAATAAAGTACACGTTTACTAAGTTTCAGAGGTGAGCGTTTCCAGGATTGGTCAAAATTCAACTTGAAACCTATTTTGTGGGATCGATTACCTAGTTTTTGGAAATTCGAAACTAACCTTGTGCACCTTGAAACTTAAAATCTACCATGTCAATCGGTTCCGGAATCAGTTCAGAGTCTACATCCTTTTTTATTCATTTTTTTCCTTCCTTTTTTTCTTTTATTTTTAGTTAAGCAAAATGAAACTGAAGAGCGCCAGCAAATATTCCCATTTTTTAGTAGCAATCCATAACACATGAGCACGTAAAATAAAATAAATAATAGAAACTTCACAACACGTAACCACGGTTTATCATTTCCCATTTCTTGGTTCGTTTCATGGATCTTACTCGGAAACCGAACCGCACAGCACTGATTCTATTTTTTATTTTGAATCGGGAATCGGATCGAGAACCTGGAACCAGGCCAGTTCCTATGGTCAGTTCGGTCCGGTTCCAAGATTCTACCCTGGACCATACTAGTTCCTAGTTGTTTTGCCTCGCCCGCGTGTACATCAACTTATACGAAAGGAAAACTTAACCGCGCATTCACGTCTCTCGAACAAAGAGTCTGCGAACTTTTCTCGTTTCGTTCGGAAAAAAAAAAACGAACATGTCTCTTATTCTTCGAGCATAATTCCGCACACCCTCCCGAGATCTAGTCATTAAACGAGTATCCCGAAAACGCCCGTTAATAAGGCCCGTCACGGGTGCAAGCTCGTCCAGACACACCCTTCAATTTCATTCAAACGTTAGGTAGAAAATCGAAGGGCCAAAAGGGGAGAGAGAGATGGAGGAGGATGGGTACGAATCCCGGAGCGAGAAATTAAAGGGCTCCCCGACACCAACCTACGTCACGCACCATCCCACTCCTACACAATCCCCCAATAGATGTTTTTTGTTTTTTGGGCTTTTCCCAAAAGTGACTTACGTCACTGATTCAGTGCACCTGCCCTAAGTCCTTCTTTTTGGACCCACTAATTTTTACTCCCACCGTAAAAGGCCATGTCCGGATCTGGTGCAGTTGCGGTGAAATTTAGGAAAGCCCGCTGGGAAGCCGCCACCTTTTTTTACTTTCTTCCGTTTAATAATTACAAATAAAGTCTAATTAACAAATTTGTCTTGAAAAGACGTTTATTATGAAAAAGCACTATTTTTCTCGTGCTTTCCACAATACACAGATCACACGAGCACATGACGTAACTAGGAGTGGATGTAGTCCGGGTGAGCAGCTCTCAACATGAAATTAGGAACTGCCCGTTAAGGATTAATTCTGAAAAATTGAGATCGGAAATCTCCTCTTGGTTTCATGGATCCACTCAGGAATTGACCGGCGGTCCGATCCGATCAGGTCATAAAACCGATCCCACCAGGTTTTACGCAAATGAAGGTGATCTAGAGCGAAAGAGGGAGGCGATGAATAGTCAGATGTACAGCCGCGAGTTAATGGGAATTGAGAGTCGAGAGTTAAGAGTCAAGCTTTAGATTAGGGATTTTAAGGTTTTCATTTTTCTTAAAAAAAAAATTTTGGTTAAAATTTTTCTTAAAAATTATATATATTACCGGTCCAGTCCGGATGGACAGTTCTACACCTAGAACCGGGAACCGGACTAATACTCATCGGTTCTACCGGTCCCCATGGGAACCGCTGGTTCCGAGCCGGTCCGATCCGATTCTAAGCGGTCCGAGCAGTTTATAGTTTCTTTGCACGCCCCTAGATGTAATCTAAATTATTCAGCTCTAATCGACATTTTACATTAAGCATCTCATTTCCATCTTGTTAAAGACAATTAATCATATATATATATTGACGCGTTGAGAGTTCATGTATTTGTACGATTCTCGATAGACCCATGAGAGATGGTCATGTAACTTCTGCCCTTTTGAATTTGCCGTGCCCGGAAGAAAGCGGTAAAATCTTCAAAGTGCTAAACTAGACCAAACCAAATCACATGGTAACAGGCCAACAGCACATTCCTATGTTTTATTATGAAAACATGCTGTTTGGTTAAGTAAGTTAATGAAGGGTTTATATAAGTCCTGCAACAAAATTTTAATTATACCTCGACAAAAAGCTGCGGACCCAATACATGAATGTGCGCAGATGCGCCCGTGCCCTGCCCCTAGGGGATTGGAAAGGTTGGGAATTCCCAAAAGAAACCTGAAATAAAATTCATGCCCACCTCGACTTTTTCTTAGATACATCATTTTGTACACGCCCTAAACTACTCATCACCGCCAGTTCTTTCCTACGGCGTACACGACAAGGTACACCCAATTTCAAGAGAAAATGGACAACGCGGGTCACGTTTTAAATTGGCAGTCGAGACACGTGACGAACCACGCATAAATCTAGCAAGTTATCGCAACCTCATCCGTAATACATTGCACAACCCACCCGCATATGATTACCGAAACGTTCGTGAGACGATTAGCGCCAAGCGGTTATACACGATCTTTTTCTCAGACCATCAAGAAGAGCGAGCGAGCGAGCGAGCTCTCTCCGCAAGTTCCATGAAAACGACGCAGTGGGTCCATAAAGATGAAAACTTTATTCGCGACCAGATCGGTGCCGTCAAGACCCTCGGTACAGGGTAAGGATCCCTCCTTGAAGATTCGTGAGAAACGTCCGAGGACAGCGGCGATGGAGCTCTCAGAACTTTTTTACGATGGCTCCAGGCTATTGACAGTTGACAGTTACTGTTGCGCGGAGGTTTATTCATGTTTTAACCCGGCTGCGAACGGGTGATCTGATAGAGAGGGCGTCGTTGTTGTTGGTGACCAGCTGGATCTGGACGGCCGTGGAGCCTTCTCGGCCCCCCAACCTCACATGTCCCATCAACTTTAGCCAGCAACTTTTCCTTACAAGAGATTCCAAACTTCTTTTTCTCCCATCATTTTCTCATTTTCACAAATTTTTTTTGGCCCTCCTCTCTCTCTCTCTCTCTCTTCTTTTTTCCTCCCTCAATAATTTCAACGGAATTGGCTTGTTGGACTTGACTTCCTATAAAATCCACACTCCAACCGTATGAGCCCTCCCCCTCTTTTCCCATTTCCCATAGTGATAGCCTGCCCTGCAGCATCGCCCTTCTGTTTCTCTCTGCTACTCCCACTCTGCCTAAAAGGGCCCATCTTCTCCTTCTTCTTCTTCTTCTTCATTGATCTCTCTGGTTCAGGGTCTCGATTCTGGTTTTCTTGAATCAGATATCGGACTACCCTTTTGCTCCGCTAAGCTATTTAGCCATTCTTGGTTTCTGGGCAGTTCCGAATTCCTGGCGAAATATCGTTCTCGACTCACAAAAGTTGAATCTTGAACTGATTCTCCAGGCTGGGTTGGAGATTCCGAGCCCAGTCCGTACGCCTACCCCGACCTTTCTATTCCTTGGAAAAGTTGCGGTTCTTCTTCTTCTTCCGTCTTCATGCTTAACCTCTTGTTCTTGATGTTTGAGATCCATGTCTCCAATTCTCTGTGAAATCCTCCTCTCAGAGTGTATGATAAGTTCCTCATTCAGGCGCAGGACCCACCTAGTTCAATCCTTCTCCGTCGTCTTCCTCTACTGGTTGTACTACGTTTCATAACCTCTGCTGCAAATCCCCGTTAATTAGCCGCTATATCTATCTCTCTATTATATCACCATATCTATTTCCCGAAATAATCCGAAACATTTGCAAAACTACTAGCTGGGTCCTGCTATAAGCCTTATAATTAATCTACTATTTGCTGTATATTGGGTCTCAAGCAATTTGCACGAAGCCACAAACTATTGGCAGTCAATCTCATGGGTTCCTCGAGCGGGACATCTTCAGGGTCAACCCTGATCCAGAACTCGGGATCGGAGGAGAATTTGCAAGCCTTGATGGATCAGAGGAAGAGGAAGAGGATGATCTCCAACCGCGAATCGGCGAGGCGGTCTCGGATGAGGAAGCAGAAGCTCCTGGACGATCTGATGATTCAGGCGGCTCAGCTCAGGAAAGACAACCACCAACTGGGGAACAACGTGAACATCGTGAGCCAGCATTGCATGAGCCTGGAGACCGAGAACTCCATCTTGAGAGTCCAGATGAACGAGCTCACCCACAGGTTGGAGTCTCTGAACGAGATCCTCGGTTTCCTGAATGCAGGAAGTGGCGGCGGATTCTACGGTGGCGGATCAGGACATGGTGGGTTCGGATCACCTGAAGAAGTTGGTGGTGGCGGCGGCGTGACGGATCAGCCTATCGAGTGCTTCTTCAACCCAATGAGTTGTGCTTATGTTGGGAACCAGCCTATCTTGGCATCTGCAGACATGTTCCAGTATTAATCTCAGACGAGAGAGAGAGAGAGAGAGAGAGAACTTGAGATCTGATCTATGTCATGAAGCAGCAGCAGCAGCTAGGCAGTGATTTTTAGTTTGTGTTTGGTAAGAGTGTGAGGGGATAAATGGGTTTTGGGCTGTAAATGGGGAAGGGTTGCTTGCCATTGATTGAAGAACTGTGTCTGTAATTGTCCAGTTTAGTAATGATACCTACTAGATGTTAATTCTAATCTCTCGTTTTCCTTCCTAATCCAACCCATTTTAGTCCTTTTTCTTCTTGACCATATTTCACTGTATTTTGATCACCTTCCATTGCACGAGCTATTGATCTGAGCTTTACCTTAATCCAAATCCTTTACCTAAGAAGAAGAAGAAGAAGAAGAAGAAGACCGATTTGTTTTCCTTATTGAATCTTAAAACAGTACCATGGTTTTTGAGTAGTCCTGAATCTTGCACTATAACCCTGGTTATCATGCTATTTTTAGTTAATGACAGAAAATATTTTCCTAATTACCGAAGGGTGTGATATGACGATTAGATCGATGATTTGGAAAAAAATTATGCAAGGTTAACTGCATCTTGAGAATCGTGATCTAAAGAAAATTCTAAGTGGATGCATCGCTCTCCTCAGTCTGCTCACCCTTCATCGGGGTCGGTGTTCAACCAAATCAATACTGAAGTAAAAGCCAAAAGTCAAAGGTCAATAATCAACTCCATCCCAACAGCTGAAATCATATGATAGTTATTTCTGAAATAAAATATAGGAGCAACTTAAAGTAATAACCCTAGCTATAAAAAGGAATAATTGCGTGCATCCAATGAATCTTTGTCCATATGAAACGTGTAACAATCGAGTTATTCTAGTGGTATTATCTGTCAAGTTGGAGCTATTCTCCTCCGATTTTGTAACAGGGAATTGATTTTGCCCTGCCGAACTTTGGTACTGAGCCAGTGAACTTAACTTACCGTGCTGTTAGGAACCGGAAGGGATGATCATCCATAGGAAGCGTGCATCTTAGCTTATGTTCTGGTTTTGTCCGATATTTCGCTAATTAAGGCGAAAAGCAACGATCCGATGGGGACAATCTTTTGTTATCGAGCTCATCTCAAGATAAACATTGCTTAATTAATGTCTAAACATGAAAGGAAAGCACACCAAATTCATGTCAATCTCTTCCTCTCCTTCTCTCCTTTCTCTTCCCCGCACTCAGTCTCTGTCAATTCAATTCAACTTTGCTATGAGCAAAGAAAGGCCTCATCGCCTATCCGGAAGGGGAAATAAAGCAAAAGGGTATCGTAAGATCGAAAGTTAATTTCTTCGATAATCTACAAATCCATGCACGAAAGCTCCACTTGGTACAAGATTAAAAAGTAAGAAAGGTGTATGAAACTGTAAATCGAGATAGATGAGATGTCACTTTCTTGATATAATGTTGTACAGATGGCCTTGCATGGTGGGACCCAGTTGTCAATTCAAGTGGCCCGTCCTATCATTGCAACTATTTACCCCAATGAAAACACCTATTTACCCCAACATTAGAACTTGATCATAATTACCTTTTGGATCGGACGTTCCGACAAAATCAAAGTTTCAGAGACTTCTCGTTTCTTCAAAGTAAAGAGAAATTAGTAAGATTAAGCTTATTCATGACAAGCCACGCTCAGATCACGCGATAAGCATTGGTATTTCAATGCATTAGCAGGTGAATTTTTCCCGTTCCATCACCGGTCGAAAGCCAACGACGATCTTAACGTTTCGAAACACATCGAGACGAGGCACGTTTTATAATTATCAAGTGAATGTTACGATGCATCCTCAGGAGAACGTTTCTTTCTCACATGTTGGGTCAATCGCGATGCAGACAAATTGCAAGATTATTCATACATAAACATGCGAACACAAGAAAGGCAGATCAATCATGGGATGGACCAAAGGAAGTCGCCGCAAACACACACACACACACATGCAACGCAAGTAGCAGACCAAGCACTGACCCCAGCCTAATCAGGCGACCAGATCCTTAAAGCAATAAAGGACAGAGACAGAGCGCAACGCTTTGGTGCGGGAGTGACGAAAAAAGCCAGAAAGAGGGACATCGCAAATGGGCTCCAACTAGATATTATACAGACATTGGTGGCTCTTGCCTTCCTAAGATTCCCTCTAGCTTTTCGTACTTCCCCCCACCTCATACGACCAAACGAAGGCAAAAATGACCACATGCTCCCGTTGTTTTCTCAACATATTAAATCAATATCGAACGTATTAAATTTATAATCAAAGTGGTTTCTGAGAATCAAAAACCTCACATGGGTCAAGACCCATCTTTTATTTTAGATTTCTTTTGGGATGAGAAATAAATGTTCCCGATAATTAAGAGGAAAATACCAAAAAAGTCATAAAATTACAAACAAACAAAAAAAATCAACGTTGGCGCTAATCGTGTCTATGTGAGCAATTTCCGACCTAAGTTGGCTAGATGGACTCGATTGGTATCAAAATGAAAATGTATATAATTAAATTGATCCAATAAAATGATTTAGTATTGAATTTATACCAATGTAGTAGGTAGAACGCTTTTTTGGTACTTTTCCCTAATTATTATAGACTTCTTTCTAAAGTTCAAATCACTCCATCTGTCCTTTATCGGCACCGTCTTTCTCGCGCTAAATGTCCTTTTTCTCATAAAAAGGCGATAGCAACCGTCGCCGGCGGATAGCGGGATGTCATGTTTAGTCGCCATCGAGGAAAACCACTTGAATCATAGTTTCATAAGCATTTAAAATATGCAACTGCTTCCTCACTTTCTTCCTCCCCCTTGTCTCGAGAGTCAAGAGTTCCGATCCAAACTCTATTAGTCAATCAAGTGGATGGATGGTGGCATAAAAGCAAAGTTGTGCCATCATTCAATGACAAATTTGCCCCTCATCGCTTTGATTTTTTCTCCACCGTATGAAATTACTGATATCATAGGAACTCTCGAAAATCCTCAAACATATGTATTCTTCTAGTACACGCGACCAATATTTTGAAAATTGAAATATTTAACGATCTAAACATTTATGGAGGAGACTCTAATACAAAGAAGAAACCTAATGTGATCCTCCCTCTCTCTTTCTCGTTCAATCAATATGGACAAATCTTCCAAACTAAAGTTCAATGAATGGACTAATGAGTCCCCACTTGAAGACAGATGAAGAAGTGGCGAGCCATGAATGGACCGAAAGGGACTTAATCAAAGCCATAAGCATCGTCACGAGAACAACATCCATCCCTAATCACACGCGTGCCCGCATTGTAAAATGGTGTAAACCCTAGGTGGCCCTAGGGTTTGACTTCATTGGCATTAACTTCCCTTTTTAATTTCAAGAAAAGACGACTCAGTTCCGATACAAATTAGGCCGGTGTCGAGGCTCAAGAACCAATCGAGAATGTGGGCATTTTGTTAATCATAATGTACATGTTAGTGAAACGTTGCTAGGTAGGTATGATGGCTTGATTTGCGCAGAACGATACGTATCGGAATCATTTCGAGATTTCGACATCATATCTCGATAGGGACTTGATTGGTGTACCGATGATTAGTCACGATCCAACTTGCTTGATACTTGTGATGTAAGATCGATGCTGACACGACCAGGAACTTACGGCGTTAAACAAGTTAGAAGGGAATTGCAACTTTGATGTCGTTCATTTCTTCCCCCCTTTGATGACTAATTAAACTTTTCTGCTCTATTTTGACGGGTCATTCATATATGTAGGGGCGACCCAACTATGCGAATAGAATTATAAGAATGGAAGGATCTCGTGAGTGCAACAAGGGAAATCAGTTTAGGCATGTAAATTTGGCCTATTGCACAAGATTACACAGGCTCAATCGCCCATGGTAAATTCGATGATTTAACTAGTTGTACTCGGTTGATGCAAGTGGACAGGAGTTCTGACAATAAAATGTTATTCAGTGTGGGATTTTTCATGATTCCAAAGGATCTCATAAAAAACAAAATAAATAATAAAAATGTGCCGCTATATGCTAAATGTGCCCCAGCACAAAAGCACAAAGAAGACAGGTACTAACACTCTTTGTAAAGTAAAAGGGGTCGGTGCAATTAGGCATATGGTGGCTTCAAATCCAATTATTTGAAAAGCATACAAAAGTAATTTTTATAATGTTTCTTAAAAATTAAAAAAATTAAAATTAAAAAGGCCATTCTACTCATTTAATAAAGGACGAATCGCACAAAAGAGTAACCTTGGTGACGAAATCACCCATCATACCTTTCTCTCTTTTTTCTTTCTGCTTTTTCTCTCTCTCTCTCTCTCTCTCTCTTTTGCCCTTTTTGGATCCGATTGCATGCTGGAAAAGAACTCCTTGTGTTTTTTTTTTTCAGAGAAAATATATATAATTCAAGAGATGGCGAGATCATGTGGCCAGACATGCTGGATTCTGTTCTGCGAAAATATACATAATTTAATTAATAAATAAGTTTTCTCCGAACTCTATAATACAAAATTGAAATCTAAATTATTCAGTGAAAGTATGCGCTGAAGGCATATGTCCTTATCACCGCCCACCACCTTTTGCCATTTATGGAGCGTTAATGGCGTAATGACTTGCAGCTCCTAAAGCACATTTGGGGGCTTCTTCGTGCTATGTCTAAAACTAAATTTAAAATTAAGGAAAACATAGAAAGCGAAAGAATTTCATTCGCTATTTTCCCACTTCCTCGAAACGATTAGATAAGGAAAAGAGCGGTATTATATTATATATAAGTAAACATCAACTCCATTCACTCCTTCAATAACTACGAATGTTTTTCTTGATACGATTCTAGGATGGACATAGCGCATGCCTTGATGGAACGAGTCTGTGACGTAAGGGGTGTCGTGGCCAGCTTGGACGAGGGCTCCCTCTAATTTAAAGGGAAAGGGGGAGGGGGGCTGGACAATTAGAAAATGAAAAGAGTGGCATCATTTTATATTTAACCATCAACTTCACCCACTTCCTTCAATAACTACAAATATTTTTCTCGATACGAATCGATGGCAGTTCGAGTATGGACACAGCACGTGCCTCAATCAAACGAGCTCGGGACATAAAAGAGCGTCGTGATCAGCTCGGACGAGGGCTCCCTCTCGTTTAGGAGGGTGGGAACAATGTGTCCTCATGAATCCCCACATGACAACGCTCCTACGTCACTTAGAAATGACTGGACTATATCAAAGGTTGGATGATAATTGTATCATTTGGTTTAGGAGCACTGTCGCGTTAAATGGGCTAGAAATTGGCCTACATCCTTCTGCTGTTAGGCAGTGAATAGTTCCACAGAGTTAGGGCTACCCCGGTCCGGCCGGACCCGGGAATTGATGTCAAGTTGTCAGCTTTTCTTGGGCCAAGTAAGGTGGCCCAGTTCAAGATCATTGAAATAACAAAGGGATGTTGCTCGCTTTTGACTTGCTTAAAACTTGAGAGAATGTCATCCAGCAATGAAAAGTTCATCCTAATTCCTATGTCGCTTATGAAGTGTTGGTGATTGTGTGTGCTCTGAGGCTGCGCTGCAATGCAGCACATCTCTTCAAAGCCAGAAATCAATGAAGAAATTGGTGAAGAGGGGACTTCATGAGCCGTCATCTATATGGGCAGCCCAACCTTTCTTTCCCCCAAGTTCTGGCGTAAAACCTGTCCACATTCTCAGCTGCAAAATATTTCCCAAGTCTCGTCCATCTCTCGTCAGTAGTCAAAAGGACTGCTAAGAAGGGTTCTTTGATCCCTTTCCACTTTCCTAAGAAACTGGAATGATCCGGCATTACCAGCAGTCGCCGCAAGAGCATTCCCCATGCCTGAAATAGTGGAAGCGTATGCGATCCCTCATTATTATCTCCGTCCGGTATATCTTGGACAGCAATTTCATCACCGCGTGGCAGTCCTCACAAGACCGCAAGTTCTTCACTATCCGTATTTCGGAGTCCGGATTGGTCTTAATCAACCCGAATGCAACGGCAAGCTTTTCGCTGTGATGGCGCAACTGAAATGCTTTATCCTCATCGTCTATCTCGAGCAGTACCCGCGAAAGTTTGGGACTATACCTTTCTTCGATCAATTTCTCTTCAATCTCATCCAATTTCTCGTATATCTTCTCCGCTTCAGGGTGACTTGAATCTCCCGCCACAAATTCATGAATTAACCCATCAATCTCAATCCTACTGGATCCTGGCGGTTTCCTGAGTCCCTTCTTATCCATCAATTCACTAACCCTCGCCTTATCACACCATTTTCCGGCTGACGCGTGGACGTTGCTGATTAGCACATAGCTCCCACAATCATCAGCATTCGTCTCCGAGAGTTGGAGATGCTTCATTAAGCGTTCGCCTCTTTCTATGTCTCCATGAACATCACAAGCCCAAATCAAAGTTCTCCACATGACCGCATCTGGTTCAATTGGCATCTTTCTTATGAACTCTTCAGCTTCTTCCAATTGCCCTGCTCTTGCGAGAATGTCCACTATACATCCATAGTGATGAATTGTTGGTCTTACCCCATATTTCCTTCTCATGTTCTTGAAGTACCGCAGACCTTCATTACCCAAGCCCTCATTTCGACACGCCGATAAAACTGCGGTCATCGTCCTCTCATCTGGTTTTATGCCCATTTTCCTCATCTCGAGGAATAAATCGATGGCATCCGTGCACTTCCCATGACTGGCCAGGCCGGATATCATCGCTGTCCAAGCAAAAGCATCCTTTTCTGCAATGTCATCAAACACTCGCCTCGCGCTGTTTAAATCCCCGCACTTTGCGTACATATCGATGAGTCCGGTGCTGACATTAGCCTTCGAATCAATCTCTATCTCCTTAGCAATCTCATGTACCTTCTTCCCCATTTCCAACGCCCCGGTGTCGGCACATGCCCTCAAAACCGAGACAACAGTCGCACCATTAACCCCGACTCCTTCCTTCCTCATCCTCTCAAACAACCTGATCGCCTCCACAGGACTGTCATCGTCAACCATCCCATCGATCATGCAAGTCCACGAGACCACATCTCTCCGCGACATTCTATCGAACACCTTACACGCACAAGCCGACCGGCCGCAAGCAGAGTACATATGGATCAGGGCATGCTCTATATACTGATCCGAAGCGAGACCCGACTTGACGACCAACCCGTGCGCCTGCTTTCCCAGGCGGGTCGACCTCGAGCGAGCGCAGCACTTGAATACGAAAGGGTAGGTGAACTTGTCGGGTCCGGGGGCGAGGCGGGCCGGGTCGTGGAGCATGGAGAGGAAGAGGGAGAGAGCACGGGGAGGGTGGTCGGGGTCGGGGCTCTGGGAGTAGGCGCGGATCATGGTGTTGAAGTAGTAGGAGTTCGGGGCGGCGAGCGAGTCGAGGATGAGGCGAGCGTAGCTGAGGTCGCCGTGGGGGGAGAGAGCCGAGAAGGTGAAGAGCTTGGAGAGGTTGAGGTCGGGGCCGGTGGTAGTGGGCGATTTGACGATCTGCGCATGGAGCTGCATGGCCTGCGGCATCGTGGTGATCTCCATCGCGCATCTGTGGACGAATTCACTTCGCCGCCGTCTGCTTCTCCTCCTCCTTCTTCCCTGTCTTCTTCTTGCGGGATCCGCTGAAACATGTTCAGACAAGGAAAGCATGGATGTCTGCTAGCGGTAGCCCAGCCCATTAGTGTTGGTACTGTCGGGCTGGGCCATGGCCATGGTGGTCTGAAATTCTGAATTGCACTTGAACAGTGATTATAGGGGGAATTTTGTTCAATCTAGAACCAAGTCTAGATTTTTACAAAGAGAGATGAACATCTTCGTCCACAAAAATCAGACGACCCAAGGTCGTGGTGTGCATGTGTGAATGAATCTATTTCAAACTTCTCATTTCCCTCTCCATTTCTGATATTTGATGTGATTTTTTATGCCAAGTTTGAACAGGTGCATCGAGACATAACATAAGAGTTAGTAAATTCGAAACTTTAGTAAGTCAATTCAAATGCAAGTTAGCAAGTTAGTGCAAAAGTTGATAATTTGCAAGCTTTCTAGAAAAAGTTGATAATTTTGTAAAAACATTGATAAGTACCATCAAGTTATCTCGAAAAGAAGTCACGGTGTCATTTTTTTATCAATAGTTTTTGTACGCTTATCAACGTTTTCTTAAACTTACCGACTTGAACAAAAAAAAATTTTATATTTTTCGAACACGAGAACAGTAGAATGCTGCTACGAAGAATGGTGGGAGTGCCAGTTCTCTTTCGCGTTTCAAGAGCAAATCTCAAAGAATGTCCCCATATGCAATTTTTGTGCTTCAGCCTATGTATGCAAATAGTTCAGATGGGTTGATGATTCTTGGGGTTTGCGATAGGTCCATCGTGCATGACCTATCTGTTCTCCACTCATTTCCTACTTGTGTCAAGCAATTCATTGCAAAGAAGACCTTGACTGTTCATCTCATGGACATGCGAATTTGCCAACCACGTTCCATTGAAGAATGCTATAGGCAGAGAAATAATAGAGGCTTCCTTTTTCTTTTTAAATCTTGTCTGCAAAAGGTGCCCGTGTCTATAAACTAACGCCACCCCACGCCGCTTGATCTTTCTCTGAGTAAAAGAGATGCTGGCACGAATAGTTTAAGTTTCGAGTTTCGTCGAAGTGCTTCTCTTTATTTCCCACCAATGTCCTTTCAGCGACGTTTGGTGCGTTGTCCTTGTCGTGGAGGGATTATTGGAAGCACCCAGGTCGCCCACATTGGTCTCAGGACAACCTAATCATCTCCTTTAACCTGCACGACTAACGATGATTAATACTATCTTAATGCTGATACATTCTTCTTGGAAATCTCTATCCTTCCCCGTTTATCTTACAGTTTAATATATGTATCTGCACTCCACAATCCAAATCTCTCTCTCTCTCTCTCCCTCTCTCTCTCTCTCTCCCTCTCTCTCTCTGTTTGTGTTGAACATGCTACTTCTCCTTGCCATGCATTTGGGTCATTGCAAAGCTGGTGCAAAAACTTGAACAAATTTCATGACACTTCCATTCTTAGGTTAGTTCTTGAATAATCACCATAAGAGTCTCCCTAGGGTTCCGAATAGAATACCAATCTTTGAACCATAATCGGGAATTATGGGGTGTGTTTAAACCAAACTAATGGCCCACTTTGGATATTATTAGATTTGAGTGGACATCACGCTCAAGCTAGCTTCATTATAAATTAATCGATTAAATCAATCCACTAACTTCTTAGACTTATAGTGCTGGTTTCCAAGAGAAAAGTGGTCTCTTTTCACCTTTTCTCTTTAGGTTTCATAATCCAAAGCACAGACGACGACATTTGTAAAGGTAAATAAACTATTAATTTCCCGTTATCTCCATCCACTTCCACTAAGAGTTGTTGTAATGTTTCAAAGATATAGAGGAAAAGAAACATTATTCTGTTGCCTCCCCCCCACACCCCAAACCCACCCCCCCCCCCCCCTCTCTCTCTCTCTCTCTGTTTATACACGCTTGGAAATTTCAGAAGAAAGGAAACATCAAACATGGGTCTCATGCTCCTGAAGAAGATTAGTCTTCTGTTTCTCCTCCTCTCAGCTTCTCTTTTGTCGACTTCTCTGGCAGGTTCGTCTTTTTAACTCTCTTTTTCGTGGCATTCTTTAGCCACAAACTACTTACAGTCTCATTAATCTTTCATTCGTCGACCTTAGTTATCAAATAATAGGTGACCAACCACCATGAAAGGTTAAGAGTTGGAAATTCTGCTAATATTCTGATAACTAGAGATGTTAATGTTCTACGTGTATGCAAGCACGGGAAGCGAAAATTTTGAAGCTCGTCTTCACAAACTGTCTGCTTAGTGATCATTTTTTCTTTTTGTGAACTTTTCAGGCCGACGGTACAAGATCATGAGTAGGTTGGCCGAGGAAGTGAATCCAAATGCTGTTACTTATGAGGTTATTATGTCTTACCTTTCGGTTCGTTCTTAAGTGCCGCGAAAATGATCTTCACGCACGTTGTCTAGGTTTTCCTACCTTCTTCCAGCTCGTTTTCACATCGCCATTGGAGATGGCATTGCCAATCTTATTTCTTTTTCTTTCTTCTCACCGAACTCCAGTTCGAAACTGCTAAGTGAAACCCTTCACTCCAAATGCTCAAAATGTTAGATGAAGGTGTAGTTTCATATTATACTTTTAACATACCGAGAGAAACGGCGAATAATATCTTGCGAGTTATATTTCTTCTCGCTGAGTTTTAGTTGATGGTTTAGTGGGTGATGTCATTGTTAGGAGGGATCACAGGATGAAGATGAGGCAACTGCTGTTCATGAAAGGATTCTGAAAGTGAACACCGACGACTATGGCAAGTACGACCCTTCGCCAGCTCTTGTGCGGCCTCCTTTCAAGCTCATTCCCAACTGAGAGCCGGCGACTGTTTTGTGGAAAATCAATAAGCTGTGATGTGTAAGAACTCACCTAAGTATGTATAATATAAGCCTCGATATCAATATATATACGTGTAATATAGAATCTTGTACTAGTGTATAATATGGTCTTCATAATGAGCGCACGTTAAATTTTGAATCTTGATGATTTAGTTGCCTTTGAAGATGTACGCATCTATCTTACTGATTTGTCAAAGTTGAAAGTGCAGCCAATTATGCTAAAAAAGAGCACACAAGTTGCGTGTCGAGAGAATAAGTGAGAGAAAAACTAAATTGATAGAGAATAAAATAGCATGTAAAGACTTTATTCCATTTCTTCGATATAATTTCAATTATCATAAGACAAAAAATGAAATTTTTGAATTCAAATTTTGAAGATAATAATCTCCATCGATCATTAGCCAACCAACTTGTCGAAAATTATGATTTTATTCGTGTTTCAGTGAAAAGACATGATCGTTTACTCTCTCTTTACTTTTTATTCAAATGATATTTGATGAAATGTATGGAAATGAATTGGAATTTAAGACTCCATTTATTTCGCGAAAAAAAATTTCCTCATTTTTTTACGTTTGGTTCGCTTAGGAAAATGAGTCAACAGAAAACCTATGCTTAAATAAGGGAAAATGATTTTCTTTTTAAAAAATCGAAAATCATTTTCCAAAATATGATTGGGTATCGGCGCTTGGACCCAAAATTCTACGCTTGGGCACACAAACCCCAAAGCTGGATCCTAGGTCTCCAGTGTCCAGGACCAGGTCTCCGGCACCTATGCCCAAGTTGATCGAAGCCAAGATTGAGAACCCATTGCTCATGCTCGGGCCCATGGCACCCGCGCCCAAGTCCATCAAGGTCTGGCCCAAAGCCTCGATGCCCATGCTCGATGCCCCAGCACCCAGGCTTGTGTCCACAAAGGCCGATCGCGCGATCCTAATACCCAAGCCCGTTTCCCCAACACTCAGGCATGTATCCACAAAGGCCATGGTTGAGTCCATCAAGACTAAGCCCGGGACATCGATGCCCGCGCTTAGGTCCATCGAGGTCAAGCCCAGGACCCAGGTGCCTGTGCGCTGATCCACGGTGTCCGGGTTGGGGTCCATCGAGATCAGACCCAGGACTCTAGTGCCCACACCCGGTTCCTCGGCTGCCCATGCGCAAGTTACTAGCGCCCAACTAATTTACGTCTATTTAGGAAAATCAAATCAGATTTTCTACACCAAACGACTGATAATATTTTCCACTCCATTTTTAGATTTCGGCCAAATACCGGAAAATATTGTCATTTTATTGAAAAATGTCTTCTTGGAAAATATTTTCTAGAAACGTCACATTTTTTTGCGAAACAAACGAAGCTTTAATGTTGTTATTTGAGCGTCAAGCTTCATTGGGCCTGAAATCACAGACTTCGGGCTGGACTACAATACCAAAAGCCCAAAGTCAATTCTACACTCGACCAGTAATAATCTCGGGCCTTCGGCCCATTTAGAATAGTAATAGCTACACTAATTTCCGACCATCTCATTTTGAAGACTAAAAGATGTATCGTGGTGAACAATAATACATCTAGAAAGGAGGAAACTTGAGGCGGGCAATGAATTCCTATTTTCGCCAATTCTGTCAAAAAAAATGTTCGGTTTGAAACAACTAAATACTAAAATGCACTTCTTTGTCACTGTAAGCGAGATCATAGTCTTTTTCTATGATCTTTTGAACGAAGCTTTTTTAATATGTGAGACGTTTTTATGGGATAATAATACAAATAGTCCCTGAACTTTGACCCAATATGTAATGTGATTTTTGAATTCTAGTTCATGGACTAGATTAAATATGCATCAAAAGTTTAGGGATCGCATTGAACAAATTAAAAGTTCAGGGACGATATTGTACATAAAAGTTCATGGACCATACTGAACAAATTTAAAGTTCATGGACCACATTTCACATTTGGCCAAAGTTCAAGGACCGTTCATGTTATTTTCCCTGAAAAATTTCTAGAACACCACTTATTATTTAGTAATACATTGTAGTTAAGCCAATCTCCAATGTCAAAATATTCTCACATATTCACGGTTGGACGAGTGATGTACATGTCTCAAGTTAGTTTTGTAGCTGAATTCTCCGAATGCTAACCATCTAACGGTGATACGGTTACAATGAAACACATTTTTTTGATTTCATGTTAAGAATTAACATCACATGCACATCGGATATAAGTTAAATTATAAATGCATAGTAATACGAACCCAGAATTTTCTTAATTTTTGTCAAGATCTAGTTGTGTGTCTCAATTGGTGCAATCTAGCGAACGTTTTTTCTTATGCCCAATAATTGTCTAAGTAAATAAAAAGACGTACATTTTCGGAATGAAAAATTAGGGAAAATCACTAAAAGAATGAAAGAGGGAGTAGAAAGTAAGGTGAATTCTACTCTCCCTTACCTACCCACCCATCTTCAAGAATTTTGATTATTCTTTCTTCTGTTGGGAGAAGTTGAGGTCCGCTTTATAAAGTAACTATCTGACATAATTACTCGTTACATGTCCTATTCTAAAACTCATAGTTGGCATGAGAGTGAAACGGGAGAATTATCGAAAAAGTCATAAATCTATTATAATTATGCTAATTCAGTTTTTTTACCAATTGAATTTTAAACCTTTTGCATTTATGCCAATTCAGAAATTGATCGGAAATTGCTAACATGGACCCGGCCGTCCTACATGGCGCGACCGATTTTAACGTGGACATTTTGTAACTTTTTTTATTTTTAATTTATTTTATTTTCTTTCTCTTGACTTTTTCTTTTGGGGGGGCTGAGGGCCGTGGTGCCCTTGCCCAGTGTTGGTGAGGGTCGGTCGGCGACCTTTGCTGACCCTTAGCTGAAAAAAAATAATAAAGATGGGAAAAAGAAAATAGAAAATAAAAAAATAAAAGCAAAAAAATTATTAGAAAAAGTCCACTGCGCCACATGGTTGGTGTTCATGTCAGCGATTTCCGATTAATTTTGGTCAGATAGACTTAATTAACATAAATGCAAAAGATTTAGGACTCGATTTACAAAAAAAAAAGAAAGGTTTAGGATTTTTTTTTTTTTAATTGACATAATTGCAGTAAGTTTTGGACTTTTTTGGTAATTTTTTCGGAATAGAACTGTATGTACTTTTGTCGCACGTTATGTTCTAAGATGAATTTTCTAAGACATGTTTAGACGAGAGAGAGAGAGAGAGAGAGTTGTGAAGAAGGGAGTGAATGAGAAAATAACTAAAGTGAGTTACCAGATACAGTTCAATGTCCATGACATCCCTTCCGATCGGATGACTCTGAAACTTCTGCCATTATCTCATCATCGTGATATGTTGTCAGCTTTGGCACCTCAGACAGAGCTGGAAGAAGAAGAAAAGAAGAAACAAATCGAACCAGGCCGGTTCTGAGAAACTCGTGACCCGCGAGTCGGACGGACACAGGAAATGCGCCACGTAACCCGCGGAGCCGGCACGTGGCGGGACGTCAGTTTGTCGCTTCCATCCCCCTCGACAACACGCGTGTAGTTTTTGCATGTTCCACCGTCATTGCATCTTCCTATTAAACACTTGAATTTGTGGTAGGGCGTTTGATAGAGAGCTTCTTGTGGGAGCTGGCTTTCGAAGCTTCTTGTTTGTGGGTGGAGTGAAGAAAGAGAGATAGAGAAGAAAGGGTAATGGCTGAATTGAGAGACGAGCATGGGAATCCAATACAGCTCACCGACCAGCATGGCAACCCCGTCCAGCTGACCGACGAGTTCGGCAACCCCATGCACCTGTCCGGTGTCGCCGCCACCACCGCCTCCAGCGGTTCTGTCACCGGCGTCGGGGGTCAGCACCGCCCGCAGGAGCAGCAGGAGCGCCGCGAGGGCGAGGCTGGGGAGCACCGCCGCTCTAGCAGTTCTAGCTCTAGCTCGGTGAGTGTTGGGGTTTGGTAAAATCCCTGGGAAAAAGAAAGCTCACCCTTTTCTCACCCTTTGATTTGAGGGCGATCGATCATAACTCACTCTTCATTAACCATCAAACGTCCTCATGAGCAGCAGCCCTTCCTTCGCTCTCGATTTTTGGGAAAATTTATGTGCTTTTCATGATCCTTTCTCCGCTAGACCCTGAAAGTGAGGGGTGCATGCGTGTCAGTGCTTATAACTTAGGAGTAAATAACTGCGCATTCGATTTCGAGTTCTATGTTTTGGATCAAATCAATTATAAGGGCTCGCGTATCGCGTTGAACCGACATTAATGTTTTCGATGCTTGTAGTCGGAGGAGGACGATGGACAAGGCGGGAGGAGGAAGAAGAAAGGTATGAAAGACAAGCTCAAGGAGAAGATCACCGGATGGAAGCACAAGGACGAGCACTCGGAGGGCGCCACGGCCACCACGGGGGCCACCACCACCGTCAAGGTCGAGCATCACGAGCAGCAGCACGAGAAGAAAAGCATGATGGAGAAGATCAAAGAGAAGCTGCCTGGCCACCATAGCCATTGAAAGAGTTGCCTTCGTCGTGGAATATGTACATAAACATGTGCATATGCTTTGCTTGTGTCACGTCGTAGTGTTTGATTTGTCGCTTTGTTGCCGTAGCGATGGACTTGGATTTCATGTAAAAGTCTCTGTCGGTCGTCGAACGAACGTCCGCACGCTCTGCCTAGAGTTTCCGACTATGTCTGCACACTCTGCCTAGAGTTTCCCTGTATATTTATCTTCCTATACATCTTCCTTAGGAAGAGGAAATACCTTCTAAAGAATCAAAATGGAGCCTTTTAAAGACCTGAGCCATATGGTTGTTGATGTTGTGATGTGTGAAAAGTTGAGGTCTTATCAGTATTCATTCATGCCCATGATAAGGAGAAGAATCTTTTGCCCATTCAAAGTTCCAATTCCACACATCCCTTCCATTATTTCTGTACTAAGCTGGGCTTGGCCCTAATTATACAATTCCCAGTTCACATATTCAACAAATAGTGTGTGAATCTTTAATCTTTACAGATTTCACTAACCCTTCCAAAAAAAACAATATCATACAGACTTGTGTGCTGGTGCCACAATACAATGTCATTTCCTAACTTTCTTGCCGCCGCAAGCTTTAATAAAGCGGGTCTCGGAGGCTTTCTCGTCGCAAGGATAGTCCGTGAAGGTTTTCATGCCACGAAATCATGTAACAGATGCGCGGAACCGAACCTCTGCTGTTGGTTCCCAATGTTGATGCTCTCGAATTCTGTTGTCTCGGGGCCTATAGACGAAGCCGCCTGGTTGTACAGGTCATCCCCTCTCATGGCCAGGAAGCCGCTGTGGGCTCCGGCGGAGACGGGCAAGGCGCCTCCCTCGCAATGTTGCAGCCCCAGAGTAAGGGACACCCCGCTTCCTCCACCGAACCTCCCCAGCTCGGCCATTTGGTAGGCAGCAGCGGCTGCCATGAACCTGTCATTGCTGCTGCCGGACTGAACCATGGAATTCTGGAAGAGACCACAATCGTCAACACTGGGCGCTTGCTCTCCATTTAGCTTGATCTGGCCATACTCAGCTTCGACGTCTCCGTGTCTCCCGTTTAGGTAGTTGAATCCCATGGGGTGGCCCGCTATTTCGACATCTGGAGTCCGGTCGAACGTCGAGTCCATGAGCTGGCCTGAGCTGCATCTCTGTGCAGCTGTTGAACTCTGTTGCACTTCTTCCACCCGGTCCTCCATGGAGGACTTGACATCGCCTGTTTTCGGCTTGGCTGTGTCGGAGGATGAGTTGGAGTCCAGTTCCGGATCCCCAATCTCTTCTTTGTACATTTCTTCGACCATGGGTTTCCAGAGACGCACTCTTGCATTGATGAACCAATTCGAGACCTGTGGCACACAGCAAAACCTGGTTGATCAGTTAAATACACGACATGTCAACACTAAGGAGCTACCGTATCTGGTACAGTGTATCTTACACTATGCAAAGGAACTAATGTCATTCAGGCGTTGTAAATTTTAGAATATATTTGTTTGTCAATGCATAGGAGAAACTAAATGACGGGCTATGATACAGTCAACAAAGCAAGCACCGCCATGGTTAATGAATAATGATAACAACTGGCAGTGGCAGGGCAGGGTGAAGATGACTGTTCTCCTATATAAAACTGCCTCATCCATTTGCTACGCTCTTAGCCTTTCGTTCAAGCCTTTCCTTGTGAACAAGTGGTTTCATAACTGTTGCTCCTTGAGTCCAATTTTTTTTAATGTTAAACCACCCTCTCATCCCAACCTAATCATTATTGAACTGTAATAACATAATCGATGATATCAGACTGCTGGTTTGCCTCCAGCAATGTTTTTGAATAGAGCTCCAGGAATTAGGATGGCTCCATTAGCTCATGCTTCATTGGTTCATGTTCGTCTAATTAAGCTTGAGTTCATTTCTCACCTGACTTCTTGTCAACCCTGTCTGCCTTGCGAGCAGGATTTTGTCAGAGTCCTTTGGGTAACTACAAAAGGCCAAGACTTAAATAAGATATATACGGCATGGAAAATATTCAATGACAATTTATGGAAAAAAAGAAACGACATATAACGGCATAATGGCAGTCGCCTTACGGATGAAGAAAATGCTCAAACAGCCAGGCCCGAAGAATAGAAACAGAACTCTCAGGGAGTCCTCTTTGCGGCCTCCATGCGTGCTGTTGCATCATACCAAGCTGCTGTAGGGCCCGTTGCTGCCTGAGCTGCTGATCCAAATAACGAAGCCGAGGTATTCCCACTCCTTTACTGCTTCCAGAAGCATCTTGTTCCCCAAGACTCTTACGGGTTGCTTGAATTTGGGTGGTGATCGCATCCCGTAAGCACCGAAAGTGGCGCGATATCGTCTGAAGGGCGAGGGCCGTGTATGGTTTAGCAGCACCAGGACCCGCTATCATGTCGAAAGATGACACTACAATCTGCATCTGATAGTAATACTGTTTGTACCTTCTATCAACCTGCATCCATGAACGGTTCATCGATTCCAAGATTGACAAAAGAACAGTAGCTCATTGCACTAGAACATAAGATACAGATCAACAAGACAATGCTATTAATCACCAAAGATGTACAAAAGAAAGTATCAGAGTTACAGTACGATTGTGCTTTGTGTAATTATTTTTCAGTTCCTTATTTCTTCATTTTAAGTAGAGAAGGAATTCTACAAAAAGAAAGAAAACAGATCCTGTCCGGAAAGAAAACAACCATCTGCAGCACATTAATCAAAGAAGACAGCAGGATATGGCACACTGACCACCAGTCCCCACACGATCCCTATGAATAGCTGCCAGTCGTAAACTAGGCATGGAAGCTCAACATGCATACAACATGCGTTTTACTTGTTACACAGGGGGCGCATAAGCATCCCAATCAAAACAATTCAGGTTAAATCGATACTAGATGACAAACTTTAAAGTCAAGTATTGGCGAAATTCCTCTCACATTAGAAAACAGCGGGCATTAGATCTGCTCGCCCAAGTTTTTCTGTTACCGCAAGGAACTTCTACCCGTGCATGAGAGGAAGATCATCACCTCAGCATCTTGACTAGAAAGAGGGATCGTTAATAGAAATCAGCAGGATTTTCATTCATCTCACTAAATTTACTGAGTGAGCTTCCATCTCGAATCAGCAAGCGGACCAAGGTCCCGTGTTCCATTAACCACAAATTTCACTCTTGGCTACCTTTGTATTTTACCTTTTAAGTTGATTGAGTAGCAGAGTCTAATTTGCAATGCTAGATATCTCTTATGATCCAACATTGTTCATTTGGCTGTAATCTGGCCTATTCTTAATTCAAGATGACACCTCCATCTAATAGTATAGTAACATAATAAAGAGAAAGAAAGCAACAATCACACACAAAGTGAATTGAAAGTTTTTCAGAGCAAAACCAGAATTCAAGAGACATGGAATGAGTAAACAGCTTTAATAATAATAAAAAAATTAGATTAACTAAGAATGAGAGTATACACCAAACTCTAAGCACTATCAACAAACATACCTCATCCAACATTGACGAAAGTTTGGCCAACTTGCTCTGCAATTCTTGTCTTTCAGCCTGTGAAAGGTCGCCAGCGGAATTACCATCTGACTCTTGAGGATTTGAAGCCGCATCTTTCTTGGAATCCTCATCTCCCTCTTCAGACCTCTTAATCTTCTCACTATCAGATTGCTTCAAAGCTTTCCGAACATTAACAACTTCATCAAGCAGCTGCTGAGCTGCCCTTAGGTATCTAGAATTCGGAATCATTCTTGACATGCTTGACATTCCATTTACAGAAAAGTTCCCTGCGTTCGATTCTTGATTGGCTCCCACTAGACTCTGAGGGAAGAACTCGGCACTTCTTGGTTGTTCATCTACAGTGGAGCCATTCCTGCTATTGCTTTCAGCCGATTTCGACGAATTAGGACTCAAGAACGCAGTTAAACCCAAGTTCTGACTCCGATATTGACTGGAAGGTATGTGGATGCCTGAGGGAATATGCGTCCCAAGACTTAGTGAAAGTCCCTGTCCCTGCAAGTTCTGACCATCTTGAAGGACTGCTGAGTGGCTGGCCATTGACTGCATAAAGAGCATCTCATTCCTCCCATCTCTCCACCCAGTCAAACCATGATCGCTCATTTGGGACCCACCAAGGCCAGAAAACAGGGCTTGGTGCTGTGGCATAGAATCCAGACCTCCAACAGATGACATATCCATGCCGTTACTTTGCTGCTGAGGATTCCCAGTCAATGCACTCGAGAAGGTTCCGGAACTTACATACATCATATTATTGCCAGGAAGAAGAGATTCCTCAGCATGCGATGTGGGGGCGTGTTCTCGTAAGTATATAACAGGTGCAGCATCTCTTTGATCGCTGGAACTGGTATAGTAAGTCGACATGCTACTTGCACCTGGTTATTGAAGTAAGCCTTTCATAATCACCGAGAGAGCTGAAAAATGAGGAAAAAAGCCTTTCATAATCACCAAGATTCAATTCCTAAATTTTTGGTATCACTATGGACCATGTAGCTAATTGACAAGATAACTACTCTAGACGAGTGATCAACCCGGCCATGTCTGATTGCATATGACTACTGCAGCAATTTACCATATGCTAACTACGTTTAGCTGTGGATGATTTGATGGAGATGCCATCGCAAGAGTAGCTTAAAGTCAATGGGAAAATTGAAGGTCATGCCTTACAAAGCAAACAGGTAGTCTAGCATAGAAACTCAACAATCAAACAATTACCTCCAGGCACGAGATGCAAACAGGAATTTCGGAAAAAAATCAAATACTTAAGGACGATCCTTTGATAAATTGTAGACAAGTCCCGTTTCTTTGATTAAACGAAGTAAGAAAAGAAGTCAAATCCAGTAAATAAACACGCCAAAACACCAACCAAATAAATCAGATGAAATAATCCAATCAAGTACGAGAAAACGTGCTATGTTGGGCAAAACAATCTCGAGGACAAGCTTGGTAGCAACTGGCAAGTAAGAGGTCTGCTTAGTTAGCCTCATAGGATAAAGTAGCTCGATAAGGACTTGCTAGAATGGAAGGATAATTCCAAGAGAAGTATAACAAGTTGTTAGCTTCATCATCTCCATTCCAGAGCTGGAGAAGCGTATGCAAAGATAAATAAATAAAAAAAAAAGGCAAGAAAACTCCCCTCATCCACGGAAAAGGATGGAGAAAAATTGGTGAAGAAAAAGAAAAGTCAAGATCATTGGAAACAAAGAGAACCTCTGAAGCCTGTATCAGTTGAGGGTATGCAACAGAACGGGCTAAAAACTCTTCCAACAGACCAAACTCCCTCCGATCCGAAGAATTCAGCAGAAAGAAAGGCTCCAATTTGCATTGAACTATTAAAGAGACCAGTTCACAGACCTACAAGAACCCAAAACCCAGATGAATTAAGAGCTGGAAAAAACAAGAAGAAGAGAGAAATAACTTTTTCCATAGTTCAGAGGAACAACAAAGCTTGCACTTTTGTTGCCTGTTGAAATCATATACTAGCATGCAACCATCATATCTAGCAACCCCCACCTGAGAACCACACAAGACCCTCTTTCTCTCTCTCTCTCTCCCCGCAAAAGTTGCTTCTTCTTTCTTTTCTTTTTTATGAACCACACAAACACACTCTCTCTTTTCTGAAACAGTCACTACTGCTTTTAAAGCTCCGTGGGTTGCTTAGCTTTGGGTTCTTGCTTGAAACAGAGCTAGCGACTAGCAGTAGTAGTTGGTGTTTAACCAGCAATGTTGCTTCTCCTCCTCCTTCCTCCCTCTAATTCCTTGGCTGGTGTTTGGTTAAGGTGCTCAATCTCTAACCACCAGTTGGTAGACCTAAACCCTCTCTTAAACCCCCTCCTTCCCTCCTTCTCTCACACCATCTCTCTGTCTCTCTCCCTCTACCCGTGGCTGTCTCTCTCATCCATGAGCATGGAAGTTCTGCACTCTCTCTCTCTCTCTCTCTCTCTCTGTGGTTGCTTCAATATCCACCATATAAACCCATGGGCATATTCTATTCCCTTTTATCTTATTGGTTTTATTTGTTTGTTGTGGTTAGTAGCCCCCATTATTTAATTCCCATTTGAAGAAAAAATATTTTTGTTAATGGAGGAAGGCCCAACAGTAGGTGTCCATTTGGCTCCATAATTTGTCATTTCTTGCTCTCTTTTTTGCACCCTCCCTTCTTATTTCTGCAATTTGCACTTTGATTTACCAAATTGACCCACTTACTAAAATGAGGGTATAAATTTGTTCATCTAGATTTTACTCTGTCATATCGCTTAGACACAAGGATTTCGTACGTCAAATGTTGATGGGCCTTAAAGTTGCTGTAAATATTATTGCTCATGCGTCAGCATCAAGCATCGAGCTCTTCTTTCTTTTTTTTTGCCCTTTTGGCAACCCATGGGGTCAGCGTCATGCTCATACTCCTCACAAGTACGCATTTTACTGCCGTCGTACCGGATGGTTGGAAGCTGCTAGCTCTAGCTCCTCGGGACAACCTTGTGGATAAAGATTAGGATCCGACATCTATTAGCTGTGTAGGGCAAAAGAGATAAAGGAAGAAAATGACATATATATATATATATAGTCCTTAAATTTTGGCCCGATATGTAATATGATCCGTGAACTTTTAATTTGTTCGATGTGATCCATAAATTTTAACCCGATATTTAATGTTGTTCGTGAACTTTCAATTGATTCATGAACTTTTGATACCTATTCAATCGAATCCCTAAACTATATGAAAATGTTCGATATTATCTCTGAACTTGAATTAACAAAATGATGACATCGGACATTTTCATATAGTTCATGGACTAACTTGAACACGTACCAAAAGTCTGAAAACCACATTACATGTTGAGTTAAAGTTCATGGACTAATTGTCGTCATTGTCCCCCAAAAAAAAATCAAGAAAGAAATCCACATTCTCCTTAGCCTTAGATACATGACATTGTTTGACAATTTAATTCAAATCCCTTTTCCGGCTTTTGATGAAACGCGGGGGTCGGTGAACTAGCATATTTTAAAATCCTGTCTTCGGTATCGATTATATACTAAAGTTGATTTAATGGCGAGGGATGTCCTGAGAATCAACCCCTCCGCAATAAAACGAGAACAATTACCGCCAAACTAACGTCCCGCTTTAATGGTATTCTTTTCTCATTTGCGAGAGAAAGAAGCTCTGCCGACGATTTTCATCGACACGAAGCGTGAACATACGCGGGTTGCAAACACCCGCGTATTTGCTGTGATCTTTTACTGCTTCTAATGTTCAACCAAACCATGTTGAGAACTGGGAACAACAATCATTTTTCATGTTTATGAAAGTGAAATTTCCATGGGTGCTCTGATGATTGCTGAGCAGAATCTATGAGCATCATGAAGAAGAACACCCCAATCCTCAGTTGGTATACGACCAACATGATGTTAAAGTCCTTTTCTTTGCTTTTTATACCTTCCGTTCTAAAGTGAAAAAAAAGGGGCAAATTTCCCCTCCCAAAAAGAAAAATTACTTACCCCTTTTGGGGTGCAATCAAATTGGGGTTCGAGAAGATGGAGTAAAAAATTGGGTTGGCACGTGCGGATATGTACTTTTTTTTATGGGGCACGTGCCGAGTTTAGTAGGTAACAAAGGCTTTTTAATTAACGGAGGAAACCTAGATTTGTTTGATTTGGTAGCCATCTTTAGCCAAAAAAAAAAAAATGCGTACATTAACCCTAGCTAGATTTCGCGGTTTCATCACTGTAATCAACAGTATTCTACCATTAAATCGCGGAATTGAAAAAAGTAGATCATATTAGTCGCCGAAGTAGCGACGATTTTACCTAACTTGAAGCCGTTCGAAATAAAAATTAACTCGGAAGTCACGACGAGCATGCCCCCAACATTAGGTTTATCAGATAAGCATGATGTATTATAAAGAATACGAAATTAATTGAATTTAAGGCTCAATCAATCTTATGAAAAGCATACCGTCTCCTCATTTGAAAAATGAAAAAGATCTCATTCCACCACATCACCATCTGCTGCTTCCTAGGTATAATGAAAGGGGCAGCACAATGTTCTTTCTTCCCAAACGACATATATTTTTGTATCCGTGATTGTGAAGTGTCCATACAAGATGGATCTTTTCAGATACATGGACCCAATTCGAAAAAGACGATGCCGGGCATATTTGGGACGACGACGACGACCGGTCCCGTGATTTTGTACGGCGACGTTCATGCCGAGCCATGCGTGCAGCTTCAAGAAGCGCAGACAGACGAACAAAACGCCTCTCTCGTCGTCGTCGGAAGATTATAAAAAACCTAAGTAAACCCATGAAGATTCGAGGAAAAAGAAAGTTCCGAGAACAGATGCAAATACTAGTAGTTGTCGATGATGTTTACTAGGCACGATGATGTCCCACGTTTTGTCATTCTTTTTTTGCTCGAAGAAGATCGTGCATGATTACTTCGATAGGGACATCTGTGATTTTGCTGTTCCTACCACTTCTTGTTGAGTTGCTTTCCGGTGGTTAGTCCTTTTTGGTTTCTAAATCAAATTGGTTAGTACAGTGTTTCTACTTACTCTCGAGATGATTAGTTTTTACGAAAGGTATAGTCAATTCGATCAAGTAATAAATAAGATCGATGCATATAGTTTGAACATGTCGAATATAGTAGTGCGATGACGCGTTAATTACGCGGAATTCCAACCTTTTAACCATTTGCAGAGTATTTTCATAGGGATTTGTCGAGATATTTAAGTCAAAAAGATATACCGATAAGGTTTATTACAAGGGATAATGACACAATTGTCCTTGAACTTTTACCTAATGTGCAATGTGGTCCCTGAACTTTCAATTTGTTCAATGTGTTCCCTAAACTTTAGCCCAATGTGGAATGTGATATATGAACTTTTAATTTGATCAATGTGGTCCCCAAACTTGTAGTACATGTTCAAGTTAGTCCACGAACTATGTGAAAATGTTCAATATTGTCCTTAAACAGATTGAAAGTTTAGAGATCACATAGTATATTGGGTTTAGTTTAGAGACCACATTGCATATTTGATCAAAATTTAGGATCAAGCGTATCGTTTTCCCTTATTACAACTTTTATAAAGAGGATTAGGCATCTTCCTTTTTCTTTTCTTTTTTTTACTTTGTACCTCGTGTTATGGATGCCTTCAATTTACTTTTCAAAAAGATATTGTAGGTGAAGATGACCATCAGTTATGTGGTTATAGCCACCCTTAATCACATGATAATGATACCAAGCAGCTAAACTAATATTTTACGAAAGCCAATTTCCTAAATATAATTCGGCGTCCATGATAACCATAAAACTCAAGAGGAGACACGAAGAACATATATCTCGCTCGAGCACACTTACACCGTACGATCATCGAAACTTTCCTTATATCTTCGCAAATTATCGTCGTTTTCCGGTTGTTCGATCCATCGATTTTATTCTTCTTTGTTTTTTTCTCGAGATAACATAATGTTTTTTTTTTCCTTTCCAATTCACCAGAATAGCAAGAGCCGCATTTTCCACGAAGTTGTTTGAAAAAATGAAATTAGGTGGGCACCTAATACATGATTCATTTATCTTCATTGAGTTGCTTAAAAGACAAACCAAAAGGTTCAATAATTGCAACTTAAGCAGCCCCCTTCTAACAAAATCTGCTCCTCCTAAGGATCCCTTTTGTTTTTTTTCTGTCGCTCCTGAGGTTTCGTTTGTTCCGCGAAACCTAAGGATCTATTTATTTAGTGAAAAATAAAAAATTTTGAAAATTTTTCGTAAAAATAATTGGTTATATCACTCATAATAATTAATCAATAAAAAATATTATTATTATCGATAATAATTTATGCTTAAAATATTTTCGTGAACGATAAAAATATTTTTCATCGAGCGAGACAGGCAAAATACTTTAGACACCATAACTGGTTTCAGCCTGCCATGGCCTCATTAGGAGAGCGGCATCAGCTCTTTACCAATTTGTGCATGGACGGCCAGTCCTGCCTTCATAACTCCGTAGAGATATAATCATTCTATCCTAGAACTCCTAGCATCAATCGTGCCGACACCACTCTGACGAATCAGTTGTATTCATCTCTTTTGCATCACTCATTCTTTACTCGATAACCATAAGTTCAATTCATAAGGGTATGTGAATACGGGAGAATCGTCTCTGTGACACTAGTATCATAGATGTGGAGTTGCAAGAGGTGGAGCAAAAATCATAGAGATGGGAGTTAGAGATAAGACAGACAAAAAAAAAGGGATAATGACACAAACAGTTCCTGAACTTTTGTTCAATGTGAAACGTGATCTATAAACTTTTAATTTGTTCAATACAGTTCTTGAACTTTAACCTAATTTTCAATGTGGTCCGTGAACTTTTAATTTGTTCAACGTGGTCTATGGACTTTTGGTACATGTTCAATGTAGTTCCTGAACTCTATAAAAATGTTCAATATCATCCTTCAAATAATTCAAGTTCAAGGACCGCAACGAAGATTTTCATATAGTTCAGGAATTAGATTAAATAGGGAAAATTCCAATTAAGGACCCCAAGTGGGGTCCTTTTCTCAAAAGAGGACCCAAAGTGAACATGGTGTCAAATAAGGACCTGAAGTACTCAATCAGTCTCAAATAGGGGCCCGAAATACTCAATTTGTCTCAGGTAAGGGCCTGAGTTCACCGGCCGGTTAAATCTCGCCGAAGGCTAGCAGCTGATCTGCTCCGAACCGAAGAAGTACATTTCATCTCTGTTTTTTTCTTTTTCTTTTTTTTTCTCTCTTCCTTCGCGGCCATGCGCCGGGGTGGAGGTCGCCGGCCTCAGCGGAGGCGCCTCGCGGACGCCGTGCGAACGCCGCCTCGGCCCGGGCGGGCGAGGCGACTCGCCGGCGGAGGCGAGGCGAGGCTCGAGCTCGCGGCCATCTCGGGCGCGGCGAGCTCGCCCGAGATCCGGGCGAGCTCGAGCTCGAGCTCGCCGGCCATGGCGAGCTCCGCCCGGATCCGGGCGAGTTCGAGCTCATGCCGGCCGCCATGGCCGTGCGGGCCGGCGAGGGCGGAGCTCGCCCAAACCGGGCAGAGCTCGCCGCCGAGCTCTCGAGCTCCGTCGCCGGTCTCGGCCGAGCTCGGAGCTCGCCGGCCATGGCACCCTCCCCTCCCCTTCCCGCTCCAAGTTCTCCCCACGGAAGCCCCCGCCGGAGTCCCCGGGCCCTTAATTGATACACTGTCCACTTGAGGTCCTCTTTTGAAAAAAAGGCACCCACTTTGGGTCCTTATTTGATAATTTCCCGATTAAATATGTATCAAAATTTTATGGATTACCTTAAACGAATTGAAAGTTCGTGGACAACATCATGTGTCAAGTCAAAGTTCATGGATTATTTATGTCATTTATAAAATAAAAAAAACGGATCCTAAATCGAAATTCGGGACAGACGAGGGAGGAGCAGGGGCGATATCGGTAAATAGGGGCGGAAGCGAAGGGCCCCAAGAGAAACGCCAAAAGAGCTGCCTCGGATCAGAGGAACAGAACCCCGCAGCAGGAAGCGGAAATCTAATTACGCCTGCAGGCGACACTTGGGGATTCGCGAAAGGTGACCATTTCCCCCCCACAACCTTAAATTAATCGGGGAGGAGCCGTGTCGCCATTGGTTGGATTAGGCGTGGGAAAGCAAAAGAATGAAACCGATTCTTTAAAGGGGCGAGGGGGGGAAAAATCTGTTTTCCTGACACGACAGAGCTCCGAAACCTGCCTGACGAGGCTGCTACTGGCTGCCTGGCTGCTGCTGTCTTCATTAGCAGCATATCCAGCAGCAGCAATTATTATTGTCTATCCTGGGGATCAGGCGGGTCGTTTTCGGCTCGTAATGACGGATGGTTAATGCGATAATCTTGTTTATTTTATGTTTCGTCCACGACTTTCACAAGTTAAACTTCTTGTCATCCTCACCCTCCCTCGGCCCCGGCCCCTTCTTCCTTCGTTCCGTAGGCAAGAGTGTTTTTTGGACGCGCTCTGTTGGAGAGAAAATTTCCGTTTCCTTTTTTTTTTTCTGGACCGGGCGAACGACCGTAAGGGTCGAGTCGGATGTGGATGGGTTTTTTTTGTTGTTTTGTTTTGTTTTGTTTTTTTTTTACCTTTTGCTTGATCCGGATTTCCGGATTTCGCGAGGAACGTGCGTCGACTTCTTCTTGACTTGTAATATTTGAAGCTTTCGCAACATGTAAGTTTGACAAGTGAATATATACACGGTGTTTTTTAAGATTCGGACAAATTTTTTTTTTTTTTGTAATTTGACGAGAAAGCAAAAAGTCATTTTCATGCCCTCAATATTTCTTTTTTTCTATTTTGAATTTGACGGGTTTTCTTTAAAGAATATTTCAATATTCGCTCGTTCTCGTAAGTCATTGTAATTTTTTCTTTTTCTTTTTTTTTTTGCTTTGATGAAGGGCTTTCCATAAAAACCAACCATCGTAGTAGGTACCCAAAAAAAGAGGTTAATAAGCATCCAATCCACGAGCAATATCAAGGTAATTTCGTCAACTTTGGACAATGTTGGAGTTGAAAAAGTGAGAGAACTTGGTTTTGCAATTTCGCATCATCTTCCTTGGCTACTCCTAAAATTTGTCTTTGAACACGATTTAGGTAAAGTCAATGCACATTACAGATCCAAAGGGGCTGTCCACAAGCTAGATGCACGTTGCAAAAGACACTAAAATACCCTTTTACTTTGCCGGATCATCTCGAAAAATCCTTTCCATATCGCTGATCGTTTGAAGGATGCCTCTTTCTCGTCATATTGCTATCGAGCCGCTTCCAATTCCGTATCACTCTCGATTTCTTCGGCTATCGAAATAGCAGGAGATTCAATTTTATACATGCAAGTATCACGACAAACAGCGCGTATGTGTAGGAAAGATAAGGAAATACTGAGAAAAGAAGATGTAGGACAAGAAGCGGCGTTAAATAAAAAGACAAGAGTTATCCTTAAATTGTTGCCATTAACGGTAGAAAACGGTATTGATAATGCTATTCTAAGGTTAAACATTTTGTGAATTCTCAGGTACCGGGAATTCCGTGCTTATACTCTTGAATTGTAAAAAAAAAAAAAATCGACAAAAAGAAAAGTTTCATCTATTCTTTTATAACGAGAGGAAGAAATAAACGTAACAGCGGGATCATAAATGATATTCAAACCCTTCTGGAAAGTCATGATGCCCCGCAAAAGAGAACAGATTGAGAAGTCCAGGGAAGCAACGTCGTCTACATATTATACACCACACATCGATATCGAACCATTTTTCAAAGTTTGAAAAAATATGTTAGTTGATCCTTTTACTCCAAACTCCTCATACATTAATTGCCGTGGGGGGCCGGCCAATTAGGTGCGCTTGGGGCCGGCCCTTAGAATTAAGACAAAGCGATTGATATCCCCGAAAAATACCCATTCATATAGCGCGACACGCACCCTCAATTTGGTTCCTTTTTAAGTCATATTTTTCGGCTAAAAATAATTTGAGCGTACAACAAATTAGGGCGAAAACATAATTGTATAATGCGATGAGGTTGCCAGCTGGGAGTTTGATACGCGTAGGTAGTCGGTAACGAGCAGATTAATAATTGATTAGGGATCGATGATGCAGTTTCTTTAATCCAATCCAATCGATGAGCAACGCATGACGTGGGGGGGGGGGCCCGGGGGGACACGTGGCGGGATTCGATTGGTGGGATGGCGAAGGTTGGGGGTGTTCCCGGACCAAACAAAAAAAAAATAGCGGTTTTTTTAATTTTTAATTTTTAATTTCTTTTCGTGCGATTAATTAATCGAACTCGGCGGGACCCACGGGCAGCGCTGAGGAAAAAAAATTTCAGGGACAAGACGATGACGAGAAAAAGCTGATCCCGAGGTGGAGGGGAAGGATCCTCTGGGATCGGATCCACCGGTGGGGATCGCGTCATCGTGACGTGGGCCAGGTGGGCCCCCGCAAGGTGGGCCATCGTGCGGGGGTTCGTGACGCGCGATTGCTTGTGCAGAAACACTCCTCCCGGGGAGACGAGGGGAAAGATTATTCATTGGAAAATGTCGGGTAAACGCTTTGATATTAATTTGAAAACGTTTTTGAACTGGAAATTATAGTATTCTTTCGTTTAATTAATCGAATGTGTTCCGAAAACAACCGTTAACAAATTATTTTCAATAACGTGAAAAATTACGAATAATTTTTTTTTAATGGACGAGTCGTACTCAACTGTTAATAAGGTTTTTGTTTTATTACTTTATGCTTCGAATACGTAATCCGGCTTTAATACTCCACATCTTCTAAAGTTTTTTTTTTTTTTGCACTCCAAAATGCAAGTTTGACTTCAGTCTTAATAAAGGTGGTTTTCTTAAGACCATCATCATTAATCAATCGTGTCGGGATTATGCTCCATTCGATCCTTTACACATTCTAATCGGATTCCCAGTTAACGTTATGAATTCCTTGTTTTTCTACTCACGGAAGGAATATGTCGGGGGCAGAACTGAGATCAAATCTAAAACCGAGTTTTTTCGAGAGAATTGGCCTAAATTCTTACATAGACTTGGATGGATCTCAACCGTCAATCAATCGAGCCCAGCCGATCTCGCCGATCGAAACGATCGGACGGTTCAGATCAAAACAGGCCATCCAAGTTTTGGTCCAGGAAATCCCTCTTTTTTTTCCCCAGGAGGGTTTCCACGAGACACTCGTGCTCTCCGTTGCTTGCTAGTTACTATTTGAAAAAACACTTTTGTCTCATTTTGGGCTCTGCAGCCATGTTGCCGTAAGGCTCAGGCTTTTTCATCTCTGGGACACAATAGAAAAGGACACACTCAGACAAGGCTGCTTTGGCCTACGCCTTACGTTCCTGTCCTTTTCACTGCCCCCCCTGTCGTGCGCTACCAAAGCCTGGATTCCCTCGCAGACGATTCAGGGAAACAAAGGGGGCGACATCATCGAGCAGTGCCATTGTAGATTTCATTTCACGTACGGGAGATCGCGGCAGAAACCCGATATCAGTCGTCGAGGGGAGATCGCCAAGAAAGGGTTTTACTCTCCGAGCCTGTTAACAAATTCAGTCGAACCCGATTTCAATCTATTGGTTTAGGCCTTCGTAAGGAAATTGAAGCAGATTAGCCGCCCAACATTACAAAACAGACCCAATGCGAGATTTCTTTCGTATGACACCCTTACATGTCCACCCACCTTAACCCACGTAATATTGCTAATGATCGTTTTCAGTGTCGCGAGTTCGCCGCATCATTCTCCTAAGCCAATTCTCTACTTTTAGAAAAGGAAAATGACCGAAACGGTCATCGTACTTTGACCAAATATGTAATACAGTCCTTAAACTTTTAATATGTTCAATATGGTCCATGAGCTTTTGGTACATGTTCAATTTAGTTTATAGATTATATGAACATTTTCAATGTTGTCCATGATTTTGAATTAATGGAATGATAATATTAGATATTTTCGTAAAGTCTAGGACTAGATTGAATAATTTGCCAATAGTTTAAAGACTACATTGAACAAATTAAAAGTCCAGAGATCACATTGCATATTGAGCTAAAGTTCATGGACCACATTGAACAAATAAAAAATTCAGGGATCACATTGCACATTGGCCCAAAATTCAGAGTCTATTTATGTAATTATCTCTTTAGAAAATTACTCATCCCAGAATCCAACATATGATGCGGGACCCGTGTTTAAACCATTAAATGAACACCGTCCCACGAAGTGAAAATCATGCAAAGGGTGGGTTACATGATCCCAACATCCAACGGAAATCATCAAACCGTCCGAAGACTACCTCATACATAAACGTAAATCGAATCCGTCTAATCGAATCCCACCGGACCCAATTGGCCGGCAGCACTCAATTCCCAGATCTCTCGCCGAAGAAGGACAGGATCTCGGCAGTGACTAGCTCCGCCCTCTCCTCCTGGATAAAATGGTGGCCGTCAATGACCAGAACCTGGAGACCAGGCACGAGCCCCTTGAGGATTTCGCTCTCGATGTAACTTTTGGTCCCGAATGATTGGAACCCGACATTCTTATCCCCGATGATGAATTTCGCGGGGACGCTTATTCTCGCGCCTTGCCATGGCCCGAGCAGCTCCCAGTTCCTGCATTCAATGGACATGTCAGTCTCTGCCACTCTGAGAAATTAAGGTACGACTAGCAAATGGCGAATTCAATGAAGAAATTGGAAGAGAGACTCCGGGCAACCTAGGCTGTCACAAAATGTGCCTGCCAGTTCTTGCTGAAATTGATTGTGTCTGTATTTTGAGTCCGTGGGGCAGCTTCGATCGTTGTCAAAGCAGATGAATGCATTTACTTGGCAATGGAATTTTCATAAATGAGACAAACAACTAGTTTCTGGCACAGCGGACACATGTTGTGAAGGACCATATTGAGGCGTGAATGCGAAAAAGTTATCCTAGACATCACTTTTCATGACCTCTTCCGATCTTTGCTTAGATTGTATTGCTGTAAATACAAACTCTGGTTAAAGGCAAATCTTGGGTCCTTTTTGGTCCCTCTATTAGCTGACTGGACTGAATCTCTATGCTTTTGGGTTTTCAATAGGGTGGAATTGAACGCGGTTTTGATCCGACTTACCTGTCCATGGCGCGGTAGTAGTTCAATGCCCCGGTGAAACCGGAGCTCCGGAACTTCTCTGCCTTGTACTGAAGCTCCTCTTCGGTGGTCCACGGCGGCAATGAATCTGGGGTTTCGAGGAAATCGATGAACTCGACACCCGGTGGAGCAGCCAGGAGATCGGGACCGTTCACCAGTAAAAACTTCTTCAATACCGTCAAACAGTCATACTTGGCAAACGACTTCTCAGCTCTTCCTGGTTCCTGAATTAGCCACAAAAAAGAGAAACAGAGTACTGCACCACTTGCCAAAACTATGCTTTAATAATCGGTGCCTCCTTAATTCAGAGACCATACCGAAGCTCAAATTTTCGGCAATTTTTTCTTACCTGAAACTGAGTAATGTAGAGCCCGTCACCAAACTTTTCGGTCATGTATTCGACCGGCTTCAATTGCGGGGACCGTGGTCGATAAGGTACGCTCAAGTTAACGAGCGCCTTTACTCTATCCGGCCTGAGGAGGCAAAGGTGCCATGCTACTTCCGCGCCCCAGTCATGACCCACCACATACGCCTATCCGCCAAACCCATTCTCATTTCATCAGCTTTCTTACAGAAGCATCAATGTACCATAGAAGAATCAACGTATAGGCTACTCAGTATTCACGCTTGGTACATGTTCAGAACCAAAAGATTTAGGTTATGCCCACATTTGCTGTCAAAAAAACATGTACTTATACACTGTTTTCTGAGTTGAATGCTGCCACTGACTTTAACATGAGAATTAAATTGGAGCAGGAAAGTCTGTCTCGCTTCTGTTCTTGCACGTAATCATTTTCCAGTTCTCGGGTGTGGTGATGGTTTTTACTCAATTGTGCTGACTTTGAGCAATTCGCTGCTCCTCCAATCACAAGTTTTTGATCTCCAAGCACGAAATTGGAAGGCATAAATTTCTCTCTGGCCTTTATTCGGCCGATTATACGCTGCAAACTTATAATCACCTCACGTTCTATCAAACCACGCGAATGTTACAGATACTAATCCTCACGGAAAAATACCCTGCAAGTACTTAATCATTCCAAGCGACAGATGTGACGCACCTGATCATGACCGAGCGCGTCGATAAGGCCGACCAAGTCGCCAACCAGGTGGAGGATAGTGTACGATGCCGGATCGGCAGGGCAGTCCGAGTCCCCGTAGCCCCTCATGTCTGGGGCGACGACGTGGTACCCGTGCTCGGCCAAGTGATGGATCTGGTGCTTCCATGTGGACCAGATTTCGGGGAAGCCATGGATGAGCAGAGCCAGAGGCCCATCTCCTTTCTCTGCTATGTGCATCCATATCCCATTCGTTCGGACTCTCCTGTGAGCTATGTCAGCCATGTCTGTGGCTTTGTGCTTCTGTCTGATCAGTCTTTCCTGCGACTGGTTTCTCGCTATATGTACGTCGTGTGAAGTGGTCAATTCTGGTGTTCAAATGTTTTGTTCACCGGTTCGTATTATTCAACGCACAAATTCAAGAAGAGAAATTGGACTTTTCTTTCGGATACGGAGACGTTATCCGCTGAGGCAGAATCTATCTTACTGAACAATGGTTGACGGGGGGAAATAAAACATTGTAAATCCTTGGTGCATCCATGCTTGAACAGGGTGTTTGTTTCGTTTCGTTCCGTTTCGTTTTTTCAAAGCAGGACACTACTAATTTGATCTTCTCGCTAAGATAACAACACAAATGATCCATGAATTTTGATCCAATATGTAATGTAGTCCATGAATTTTTAATTTGTTCAATGTGATCCTTGAATTTTAGCTTAATGTTTTCATATAGTCTAATGACTAATTTGAACATGTACCTAAAGTGCAAATTAAATGTTCAGGGACCACATGGTACATTGGGCTAAAGTTCGAGGACCACATTGAACAAATTAAAAGTTTATGGAGCATATTGTATATCGAGTCAAAGTTCAGGGACTATTTGTGTCATTTTCTCAAAAGAAAAAAAATATCCTTTTGAATTTAGATTAATCATGAAAAATTTATGTGGGTCCTTCATAGTTTTACCTTTTAAAATATCTCGTTGCTTATCGTTAAATAAAGTCTAACTTGAAAAATAAGAACCCTCAAATAGACTCGATGCACGTTGAATTTTAGAACTATCTTTTGTTCATATCCATCGAGAAGAGGACAATAGTTTCGGAAAAGCACGCAATGGAATGTCGAGGATGTTGGTTGTTTGTTTGTAAAACAAACAAAATAGTGCTTTTTCCTTTGTCCCACATAGGAAAGTTTTAAGAAGGTGGACCACTTTATATGTGTGACTGTCTTCTTCCTTGTTAAAGTGAAGACAATGGGATGTGGACTAGACTTCTCAAAACACGCGTGCGGGTGCGCGATTATTAGGCGCACTTAGCACTTAGCGCTTGCGGATGATAATTAGCACTAATCCTCATTTATTATTTTTATTTATTAAATTTCGAATTTATTATTATAAAATAACAATTTTATCTATTGAAATAGTGTGACTGTTCGCAATAGAGTTGCGGTTATTTTTTTATTAATTAATTTCGAAATTTATTATTTAGCCTAATGGTTACTAGGCGTTCTTACAACCTTTAGAAGAATTGTGTTCCTTTGAACATAACTACTTCACCTTTGGAAATTTATGCTTTTTCAGACGGAACTCCTTCAACGTTGAAAAGTTGTGTTTATTTAAAGATTATTTTTCAGAATTTATAAAATTCGGATTAATAAAAATGATTAAAAAATATTATTCTTTTATTTTATTATTATTTTATTTCGAATTTTCGTATATCCTTTTTCAACGTGACTTTTGATTTCGTACCAATTCACTACATATTTTTTCGATGAAGGGATGCCTTTATTCGAAAGGCTGCGATTAGTGAATCAGTTTTTACATGGTTGAATATCAAGTCTCTTCATTCGGATTTTTAGACACTTTTTCATTTCGAAAAACTATAACCATTCTTTCTAATTGTTTTCATAGAGAGACCCTGAAAATATGACGAAATTACTATTCGGTATTCTCAATTGAGAGTTTGTTGTATTATGGAGAAAATTTGCCGTTGACCATTAGCAACTTCGTGGGACAAATAATTCCTTAAAAAAAGTGATATCAAGTCTCAAAGTCTGACTTCGTTGTTCATCCCGTTTGAAGTTGAAGTTGAAGTTTCTTTTCTTCTACAATTCGAAGGAGCATATTTTTTCCAACAGAGGAATGTATTATACTGCTCGAAAAATAAATGGAAAATCGACTACAGAAATTTTGGAATCCTCCCGGCAAAAGGAAATATGTAGAAAATGAATTTTCCGGCCCAACTAGATATTTGTCACTCAACGTAATATTACAGATTGCTTATGGAAAAAACGTCGTATTTCATATTCCTCCATGATGGGCCTAAAAAAGATCCTTCACACGTCCAATGGGGTCAAGCCCAGCCCACTCTATCTCTATCCGGGTCGAATCGGCCCAAATCCAAAAAAAATCCACGAACCCGATAACCCGACTGACGTTAAACCCTGGCACCCTGCCACACTTCGGTGCTGGTCTCTCTGTTTCTGCAACGAAGGAGGAGGACGAGGAGGAGGAGATGGGGAAGAACAAGCGAACCAAAGACGGAGCGCCCGGCGCCCACTCTCCGTCCACCGTCTTCATCTCCAACCTGCCTTACTCCTTCACCAACTCCCAGGTACTCCCTCCCTCCCTCCCTCCCTCCCTCTAGGAAGGAAGATGTTTGCCGTGTCGGCGCACGCGTGCGTTGTCGGATTGAGGAGCGTTTGTCTCTGTTTCGATCTTTCAGCTCGAGGAGGCGTTCGGCGATGTCGGCCCGATCAGGCGTTGTTTCATGGTCACCAAGAAAGGTGAGGGAGTGTGATGTTTGTGCTCTGGGGGGTCATGCGCGCTTGCGTGGGGCTTTCGTTTTTTTGCGTGCTGAGCATATATGCTAGGGGGAGGATTTGGTGACTTTTTTCTCATCTCGTTGCAGGTTCCAATGAGCATCGAGGTTTCGGCTTTGTTCAATTGTAAGTCTCCAGGGAAATATTTGATTTTCGGCTGTTAAATTGTGACGCAGTATGATGTAGCTGAGACTTCATTGCCCTGGAATTTGTTGTGCTTCTTCGATTTATTCGCGAGCTTTGTCGGCGACTTGTCATTTCCTTTTATTTTCTCCTGGATGTGGAAGAATGCGGAGGAGCGTGATTTAGCAAGCTAACATGGCCTGGTCGAGGAATTTAAGATCCATTCTAACGCAACTACTGCACTCTTTTCTGTAATTCTGTATATTCGCATAGTTCTCGTGATTCTAGATGCTGCTGATGAGCTCTCTTTCCAATTTAGTTACTTTTCCAGTCAGGGTTGCAAATTTTTACCACTAACTTCCCTATTAGGTACAGTTCACAGATATGATATATTAATATCGGCTGACCTAAAGTTAAAACTTTTGAGAGAACCATTGGAAGTTGTCCACGATTTCCTTGGACTCTAAATTGGTTAGTAATTTATGCTTAAAGATTTTCGTATGATTTTGGCTGTCATACTATGAATGACAACATGAATTGGGAACAAGAGAGAGAGTTATGTTAAGGTTCAAATAAGAATCATGACATGTAGATCAACTTTGTAAAGCCCAAACATAAGAAAGAGATGAGACTTGGCTGCTTTTATAATTGAAGGAAGGAAATACATGTTGATATGTTCATGTTTGAATACAAACTGAACAAAACCTGCATGCTGCGTCAAGACCAGACACTTTGCAGTTTTCTTTTATGCATGTCGAGATACTACTGATTTGAGTACAAACTGAACATGCCTTAAATAATGCGTGCGACAAGACATTGCAGTTTTTAGTGCTCTTTGATGCACTTTGCTAGTTTCTGATGCAGATTTGAAAATCTAAATAATAAAAATGTTAATGCGAAATTACAAAAATCCTGCTTTACCATTTGCCAAATTGCCAATGCCATGTCGTTGCTATGAACACATCTGTCGCAATATAGCAGTAGTTATTGTGCCTTGCTCTCTATTCTAGGTGGGAATTTTCGTTGAAAGACCATATTCTGGTAATTTTTGAACGATCTGTTAATTTCACATGGGCTGTTTAGGGCCCGTTTGGTAACGTGCCAAATAGTGAGATTTCATGTTTATATGCTGGAATCATTACCTCCTTGTTTTAACTTTTGTAATGTACATAAATCAATCAATTATTGCTCTAATTTCTGTGCTGACTATTTCCTGAAGGCCCACATTCTCTATATGTATTGTAATGATTATCACTTCCTTATAGCGCTGTTGCCGAAGACGCAAACCGTGCTATTGAGAGTAAGAATGGTTCGTTGGTTGGGGGTCGTAAAATCGGAGTAAAACATGCTATGCATCGGGCTCCCCTTGAACAGCGTCGAGCGCAAGTGAATCAAGGTTGATGTGCTGCTGCCCTTATTGTAATACAAGCGCCCTGCACTTGATATGCTCACTCCTATTCGTTGGTTTTCTCAGATGATGCTGTGGAATCAAAAAAAGCCAAGGACAATAAATCTCACAGGACAATCGAGCCTACTTTGGAGTTAAAGGAAAAAGGTTGCATTCTTTGATTATTCATTGTTTACTGTATGTCATGTATCACACATTATTATATTTTCGATTAATCGTATATTTTCCCTTGAACTCAGATAGACCTGTCGTATCTCAAAAAGCAGCTACATTGTGCCGTAATTTATCTGATGGTGAGAAAGGCTCAGAAAAGCAAAGGTACTGAATCTTATATTAAGCTTCTTGACCTTCTGTTGAATAAGATGGTTTGTCTGTATAGCTTTTCAGATCATTGATCATGTTGGAGAGGAATAAATATGACTCGTTTCATTTGGGTCAATCTCATGAATATTCCTTCCCTGTAATTTTTGTGCGAGAGATACTGTTATGATTATCAAGTTGCTAGATTTTTTTTTCCGGACAAATCCCGATGGATGCTACTTGTCCCAAAGGCAATTATCAGTGTCCCTCGCATAAGTACACTGGCACATTTTTCTGGGGCGAGTCACAGTTGTGAGTGCTTTCTGATACTAGTGAAAAGGTAGTGAGCTGGGTTGACCTTTGTTGTGATAACATCTCCCAGAAGTTCAAGATGGAGATCAGCCGTTGATTACGGGTACAAAACTTGAATATAGGTAGATCTTAAGTTTGAATTAGGGCGTGACGCATTCATTTGTACTGGGGAAGATTTGGTTGTTTTTTACTCGATTGTGCTGGTGCATTGGTTTTATACATCTTCTATCAGATGATTGGTACATACGATCTTGCTGATAGTTTCTTTAGAGGAAATGTTATTCAATTGTGTGAGGAACACAAATTTTCTACCCGTAAACTTCCCTTTGAAATATACTTTTAGAGCTCTTTCATTATCTATAATTACTGATCCAGAGAATTATAAATGTTTTGTGTTAACGTGAATGCAGTGACATCAATTTGTATGTTGGTGTTCTGAAGGGTTGCAAGGACTGTTATATTTGGTGGTCTTGAAAGTGCTGAAATGGCGGACCAGGTTCATAGTAAGGCAAAGGAGATCGGGACAGTGTGTTCTGTCTCTTATCCACTTCCTGAAAAGGATCTTGAACAACATGGTAAGTGCACCTTTGCCGTCACACTCTCTTTCTTGTCATCGTGGTCTTACTCTTCATTTCTCTTGATGATTGGTTTCCTCTCACCTTCTGGCCTTTTCCTTCCCCGTATTTCAGTTAAATATGCTGAATAGTAATATTTTAATGGGCCTGATGAGATCTCAAACCCTATGTGTACCGCTTCAACGGAATGTCATCAATCAATGTGTCAGCAACTTAGAGGTGCGAAATAACTTGACAACTGAGTGCGCATATTATTTAAGAACATATTTGCCTCCTACTCTTCTTCTGCCTTCTGTACGCCTAGCATTGTAGGTGGACGCTATTCTTTCGTCATTGCAATTATTATCAGAACCCTCCCTGCGAGCCCTCTGTTGTGAGCACTTCTCGCACCAGCAAGAACATCTCCTGCTTTGCCACAACCTTGCTGGCAGTACCCCACTAGTGCTGGCACTGTAGCCACAACTTAACAATGAACTGCAGTGCCACGGAGACCAGTTAGTACAATCCTCTTGATGTCATGTGAATATCTACTATGGTAGAGGACAAAATGATAGATATGTGCCTTCAAGTCTGATGAAGCGAATGAACTTTGTTGGGGAAGAGGGGAATTGTGAATAATACCTCTGGGCTCTGTTATTTGCACATTCAATATGATGTAAAGTGCATTCAGCAAGGAAATGCAGGATTTACATTAGCTATTCTAGACTTAGTGAAAATAAATATTACAAATTTTATATTTCCTGTCAGAAGATGTCTCGAAAGGGCTTGCTTCTGAGAAGTATGGGCTATGTTGCTGGTGGGATTGACAATGTTTCTTGTCAAAAGTCCTAACTAATTGAAGTTGTGTTTTGCTGTAATTTGAAAATAAAACTTTCTTGAGTTGGGATTCTAAACCGGTTGTTATTTGTGACATACCAGGCCTTGCACAAGATGGGTGTAGAATGGATGCTTCTGCCGTTCTTTTTACAAGTGTTAAATCGGCTCGAAGTGCTGTTGCAATGTTACATCAAAAAGAGATAAATGGAGTGGCTGTATGGGCACGGCAGCTGGGTGGGGAGGTAAAGGCATAACCTTATATTATTCTATCGTTTGTAGTTTGCCCAATGTACACTCTGGAGATAAATTTGTGTATACTGCTTATTGATACTGCAGCAATATATCAGTTTTTATGTTGCAAATAAATTTTTTTTGGTCAGAATGTTGTAAATAATTGGCCTAAAGCTGTTCCAGTCCCTACCTTTTTCATGAAGAAATGTGAGTCATTGTCTAATTTGTTTGGCAGGGCTCAAAAACTCAGAAATGGAAGCTCATTATTAGAAATCTCCCATTCAAGGTGATATTATATACATTATCCTAGCCCTGCTGCTGCTTTTCATTGGGCGGAGCTTGTCTTCTGAGCAAATCTTTATTGGTGAGTGCAGGTCAAAGATAAAGACCTAAAAGAGATGTTTTCTGCGGCTGGGTTTGTTTGGGATGTCTTTATTCCTCAAAATTCTGAGACAGGGTAAATTCTCATCACTTGTTATCAAATATGAGTACGACAATGCTCTTTTGCTTGACTATGATTGACTTTTGCAGGTTGTCTAAGGGTTTTGCTTTTGTGAAATTCACGTGCAAAAGTGATGCAGAAAATGTATGGCTTCATCTTATCACTTCTAGAATTTTTTAGGTTGGCATTATAAATTTGATATCTATTCTTTTTGGCAGGCCATCCTAAAGTTCAACGGGAGTATGTTTGGTAAAAGAACTATAGCGGTTGATTGGGCTGTTCCAAAGAAGGTATATCATGGTGTCAGCGCTGTTATCGCTGCCCCTACAGATGGTAAGTCAGCATTTACTTATGTAAAATTTGGTTATCAGATCTTTCGTGTAATGTAGTCTTTGTTAAGGAAACTGGCAATAATTTTTGAATTTGACTGATGAACATTTTTCCTTTAATTTTATCCAAGTTATTCTTTGAGAAAACAAATTCAGAAAACTGGAACTTAAGAAATCTTTTCCTTAATACGTCATCTCAATGGCTCGTTCCCATGGGATCTTATGTTCTAAACGCAAATTCAGTGTAATGTGGTTGCTGGATTTTGCAGGACAGGAAAGAGAAACAGAAGAGGAAGGTGGTAGTAGTAGTGAAGATCTGGAGGATGATGTTGCTGATGAAGGAAAAGGGACCCTGCTATCTGATGAGGATGATGTTGTAGCAGAGAATTCAGATGCAACTGGAAAAGACAATACTCAGGCAGAGTTAAATTTTGATGACGAAGCTGATATTGCGAGGAAAGTTCTAAAGAACTTGATCTCATCTTCTGGTAGAGGAAGTCACCCTAACAGCGAGAGTTTGGAACAGCTTAAAAGAGAGGAAAATGGAAGCTCTAATGAAACCAATGATGCTGCGATTGAGGGTGTCAATTGTTCATCTGTTAGTGAAGCTGAAAGTTCTGGTAAAAATAAAATGAAAGATGTGGAGCAAACAGACACGGATGATGATTTGCTGAGAACAATTTTTATAAACAACCTGCCTTTTGATGTTGACACTGAAGAAGTGAAGCAACGTTTTTCTGGATTCGGGGATGTGCAATCATTCGTTCCGGTTCTTCACAAAATTACCCAGTATGGACTATAATTTTCTTCAATTTGCTTCTATTTATTGTTTGTCTGTGGTTTCACCTAATTCTTTGCGGCAGGCGGCCAAAAGGCACGGGTTTTCTCAAATTTAAAACAGTGGATGCAGCTAATGCTGCAATATCAGTAGCCAGTGTAACATCTGGAGTGGGGATATTTCTGAGGGGTAGACAATTAACTATTTTGAGGGCCTTGGATAAGAAGTCAGCCCATCAAAAGGAGTTGGACAAGGCCAAAACTGAGGATCATGACCACCGCAACCTTTACCTGGCAAAGGTAGACAGCTCAAACAGTTGTCCAAGCCCCCAGTTTTGGTTTGGTCATGTGTTAACATGCTCGTGTGTTAACATGCTCATGCACCCTATTTTCAAAAAGCTTGGCTAACAGATTGTTGTCAATTTGTAAACAGGAAGGACTTGTTGTTGAAGGAACGACTGCAGCTGAAGGTGTTTCAGAGAGTGATATGGCCAAACGTAAAGGGTAAGCGTCTTCCCTTCTGAATCAGGACTGCAGCTTTATTCTTTCTTTTGCTTGTCACATGTTCTGTTGTGGAGATGCTTGGCTGTATTTTGGACCTTCACCTCCAACTTGTCTCTATATCCAGCCTTCTTAGTCCTCGTTTGCTTCTTCTTTCTTGAGTATATGGTTGATTACCAATTTGTGCAAACAATTATTTGTTAGAAGCGTCTCATAACTATCATAGCGACAACTTGAATTATTTTCTTCAGCAAAGTCACTCCTTAATCATTTGATTCGATTGGAACATCTTTTATCACAGGTACTCAAAGATGTCTAAAAGTTAAGCTCTGAGTTTATTCTCATTGAAACTTGGATCTTCATTTGCATCATTTTGCTAGAGGATGTTCCACTATGTTTATAACAACTGTTTGTGATTTTAATTATTGGTTGCAAGAATAGATATTACCGATTCGAACGCACCCATTTTACACCTTTCTGGTGTTAGTTGAATCTGTCACATGCAACATCCATTTTATATCCCCTATGTTGTTTTATATAATTCTTTCCCGAAGTATGTGTAAAAGAGGATGCATGATAGTGAAACAATGGCACTTCTTAGTATATGCTAATGATGGTGACTCTTGTAGTATGTGTCTTCCGCAATTGTGTTAGTGATATTCTGGTCCTTTACAGGTTGGAAAGGGAGAAGATGACTAAGCTGCAATCTCCAAATTTTCACGTTTCAAGGACCAGACTTGTTATTTATAATTTACCAAAGTCAATGACTGAAAAAGAACTTAAAAAGCTGTGCTTTGAAGCAGTTACCTCACGAGCTACAAAGCAAAAGCCAGACATTAGACAGGTCAGTAAGCCTTGTTTATTTAAGCGTTTCCCTTTGTCTTTTGGCAAAACAACCATTAAATTATCAAATAAGGACACTTAGTCTGTTGTTGACATTTCTCATCTACTAAATGGAGTTTGTATTTATATATCTCATGCAGATAAAGTTCCTGAAGAACATCAAGAAAGGTAAAGTTGTCACAAAGGATCACTCACGTGGAGTCGCTTTCATTGAATTTACAGAACACCAACACGCACTTGTGGCCCTGAGAGTATTGAATAATAATCCAGGTAAGGTCATCCTAAAGTCCAATTTCGTTTGCACGTTTCTGGATGTGTGTCTGTGTGTGTGGGTGAGAGAGAGCGAGAGAGAGAGGAGGTTGTCCTTTGACAGACTACTATAATATTCCTCCACTTATTTCTTGTGCTCTAGACTGATGTTATTACCTAATGTGATGTGTTTCCTCCAGAAACTTTTGGACCCCAACATCGGCCAATTGTTGCATTCGCCCTTGACAATGTGCAAACACTAAAGCAAAGGAAAGCTAAACTGCAAGGTTTCCAACATAACTCCCCAAATGATCCTCAAGGCATGGGGCCAGAGGATAATGATAATGTCCCTCCACCCAAGAAGTCTAGGAAACGGAAGTTGAGGGGTGAAGATAGATCACGGAAAGATTCGCAAGGGGCTTATCGGGGTGAAAGTTTGCAACCTAGTGAACCTGCTGCTAAAGCGCATACCGCTAGTAAGAAGCGGAATCGTAATCTGGCAAATAAGATGGAAAAGGCAATCCCATCTGAAGAAAAATTGGAGAATTCAAATGAGAAGCGTGGGCAAGGATCAAACAGGAAACTGAAGGGTAAACTGGAACTGAAGCGAGCTGATGGCAGACGATTGTTCAAAGGTGAGGTCACACCTGAAAGGAACAGCAAACAGGAATCGCTTGAATCAAAGGCAGTACCAAGAAAGAGAAAGCTGCAAGACCAAATGGACGAACAACGTGGCAATGCAAATTTGAAGAAAGGTAGAAGGCCGAAGAAAATCAAGGAACCGCCTGGGAGAGAGGCGGTAGACAAACTTGATCGGTTAATTGAGCAATATAGGGCCAAGTTTTCGCAGCAAAGATCTGGTAAAGGCGACGGTCTGAAGGATGCTTCTAAGAAGCGAAGCAGGTGGTTCGAATCTTAATTTCGTTCTGAGGCTTTGTAGCATTTTATGTATTCTTTTGGTGTATCAGCATTTTCCTTTTTGCACGAAACTTTGTGCGGTAGAGTTGATCTATTCGTAAATTTTTGGTCTGTAATAGCTCAGAGTCCCTGGAAGTATCAATCCTGTTATTTCACTTTTATGAAAACCTCACTTGTCCGTTCTCAGACCGCCATGTCGACTCCCTAGAAACAGAGGCCGCAGCAGCTTGAGATCAGCGGCCAGATTCATCACAGGGACATTCTTGACCTAATCGAGGACGAATTAATCAATCAACAGATACTTTCTGGAATTGGCTGAATTCCTTTAAGCCATCTCAAATGCATTCTGAATCCCTTTTAGACTCTATTTCCCATATTTGGTTTTGGATTTTCTTTCCTCTACAGGTCATTTTCTTCTTTGCTAAATTGGCGTGATAAGACGGAATTCGATAGAGGGTATGTCATCAAAGGACTCCGAGGGTGTTACTTCCCCGTGACTCGTCCATGCAAAGGATGTCAAGTCAAGAAGGTCGTTTTTAGTTAGATGGCGTTTCTGAAAACCTTTGGTGCATGGATCCTCAATCCCTCTAGAACCGTCGGAAAAATTAAAGTGAAAAAGAAGTAAATCTCGCCTGTTGGTAAAAATCTTTTAAGTTCTCGTGTGTTAGGACATTTTGTATAGGAGTTAAAATGAAAAGAACCGTCTCGTGGTGGATCCTAGAATTGCCGACGATCCTCCTATACATTTTCCATGTTTAGGCGAAAGGACACCGACCCTCTTCTCGGAAGAAACGGTTATCAATGCTTTTGAATTATAATGGTCCTGGAATTGCAGGCTCAGCCTCCCTTCAAAAAATTGGAAGGAGAAGAAGCCAAGAAGGTGTGTCCTACCACGGGCAGAAAAAGAGACTGCTCATTTCTGTACGTTACAATGATCATTTGCAGCCGCGCAGGACCAAGGAGGCACTCCTTCTTCAAATGTTTCATGTGAACTCGATGCTTCCCATGAAATTAGGCTCAAACCCACTTTGTATGAATGATTTTTCTAAAAATAGCATATGTCTAGTTAAAAAATCCCTCACGGCTATATTAAAAAAAAATGTTAATGGATGACGGCATTGTGTCGATAAGACTGAGTTAGTTTTGCATAAAACTCGATCTTTCTGCTCTACTACCTCCGCTGTTGCCGTCACGGAGCCACCGCTTCACTCCGATTCTCGTCGGCGGGGGGATTCAACCTCCCGGCTTCACTCCTAATGTCGACAACCGTCGTAAGCGACTCATGAAAGCCTGAATGAGGATGTTGTTGAGCAAGTGCCGTGGAAGGATTTCGTGGAGACTACACAAGAGCAGCTGATCATATGGGAGTGGTGATAGGTATATTTGGTTAATTGAAAAAAAAAATTGGTAAGAAAAAGGGGCAAAGCCCGAATATTAGACGTTACTCTCCTACTAAAATTTGGTCTACTTTGATCTCCCATCAATAAAGGAAGTAAACCTCTCGGACATATCAAATGCTAGAGTGTCATTTACATCATCGCAAAATTGAGGTCCCTAATTTGCTATTTAATCCCCACGTGAGTTTCCTTTTCTAAAGGTATGTATAGTTTTGACTCATTGAAATTCCTCCAACATCAGGGAAAGCGAATATAACTAAAATCGGGAGAGGGAGTTGATTTACGAAGAAAAGAAAGTGATTGCTTGCGAGTCCACCTCCGCAATAAGTTCCCAAATGCTCGGACAATCGATTGGAGGATGCCTAAATCTTGTCATTTAGATTTTCTGTTCTTTGGGGGTACTCCCTGCCTACCCTCTCGGCACGAGATTCGGAAAAGAGCCCAACAAAAAGGTGAATGTCAACAGTTCACTCTTCTTTCGACCAAAAAACATAAAACAATTCACTCTTCTTGGTTAAACTCCATGATGGTCCCCGACCACTAAAACTCGCTACTTTCTAGACGTTTGGCAGATAAAAGAAAAGAGATTCCACTCTCCATGGTCGATCTCACCTAAATTACAACGGTCCGACATATAGTTCCGTACAATCACTTTCCATGTTTTTGCCCTTCTCCCTTCGTTTCTTCTTGGGTCGCGGACCGGCATGAAGGCTTCCGCGTCTTATTTATAATAACTTGTTTCACACGACCTCAAAACAAATCGATAAATATTATGAATTTCATGTGACATCGCACGATTTGAGGTTGAGATTCACCCTTGTTGGCTATGAATTGAATTAGGCAAGAATTTGCCATCTTCTCGGAGAAGGGACTCGCTCGATCTGATGTAACCCCCACGCCGATTATTTCTTCTTTTGTATTTTTTGTTCTTTTTTAAGTTTAGCCGTGTTCCATGCTGCACCTTTGTCAAAAGCCAATTTGTCAACTGCAAAATGACCAAGACTTGCCAAGTTTTTAGCGAATTTATGGAGGAATCTCCTTCTTCCGTTCTCCACCCTCAATGTTTCCTCGTGTGGCCATCTCTTTTGACATTACAAAACGGTATAAATTGCCTGAAACCTTTGTTGTTTTCGTGTCCCAATCCAATTAATGTCTCGTCCATAAGATCCACGCTCTCGTTTTTTAGCTCTAAAGAGAGAATCTTTATGAATCTCTTTAATAAATTTTCATAACGAAGAATTTTTGTACGCGCGCACGTGTAAAGGGATTTTAAGATCGATAAAAATAAATAAAATTCCATAATAATGACGAATTTCTTTCTATGGTTTTAATTGAAAGGTCACATCAAATTTAAAAATTAAAGCTCTAATGAAGAGAGAGAGAGAGAGCATGAGAAAAAAATTCAGACATTATCAAAGAAAAATGAAGACATAAATCTACGACGGGAGGGAGGGAGGGAGCAGACTTGCTTACGTGGACTCTCATCCCCCTCTCTCTCCTCATTCGCACAGCCCAGGCTGCAGCTGCAGCCTCGCGGCGTCATCCCATCCAATCACCTCCTTCCACCTAATCAGAAAGCCGCCGATCTCAAAACGCCGTCGCCAGGAACGTCGATCGCGTCGGTACCACCTCACCCGGACCGCGCGCGTCGCACCGGATCGCGCCCCCAATCGTTAACATGAGACCAACTATTTCCTTAAAAAAAAAAAAAGAGAAAGAGAAAGAGAAAATTGTTGGGGGGAAAAAAAAAAAAAACAGGAAACATTTTTTTTTGCCCCTCGGTCGCCCTTTCTCTCTCCCTCTCCCTCTCTCTCTCTCCTTGTCCTGTACCGTTGTTGTAAATCCATGGCCAAGGCCAAAGCTCCGAGGCGCCCCCTCGACTCCTACACAGTCAAATCCATCAACAAAACCATCCGAGGTAAGCTCCCTTTCCCTCCCTTTCCCGAGAAAGTTTCGAGCTTTCCCGAGAAAGTTTCGAGCTTCCCCTGCTTTCTCCCCTCTTCCTCATTGGTTTCCCCCCGTTCGCCGATCAGCCGGCGACTGCGTCCTGATGCGGCCGTCGGACCCCTCGAAGCCCTCCTACGTCGCTAGGATCGAGCGGATCGAGTCGGACGGCCGGGGGGCCAACGTGAAGGTGCACGTGCGGTGGTACTACCGGCCGGAGGAGTCGATCGGGGGGCGGCGGCAGTTCCATGGCTCCAAGGAGGTGTTCCTCTCCGATCACTTCGACATACAGAGCGCCGACACGATCGAGGGCAAGTGCACGGTGCACTCCTTCAAGAGCTACACCAAGCTCGACGCCGTCGGGAACGAGGACTTCTTTTGCCGTTTCGAGTATAATTCATCTACCGGGTCGTTTAATCCCGACAGAGTAGCCGTGTAAGTTGCTACAAATGGTTTTTTTTTCTAAGTAAAATTTTTGGTTTTTGAGCTTATGCCTCGTTTATTCTTTTATCTGGTCGAATGAGTTTAGGTTTGTGTTTTTTTCTTTGAATTTGTTTGGTTTTACCGTGGAAAGCAGAAATGTGCCGTCTTTTTGGTTTTTTCTTTGTGACCATTTTCATTACGACTTGGTGAACGAGTTTCCCTTATTGGCTTATGCCGAAATGTTTAAGCCTTGGTGCAGATTACAGAAATGCTTGGTTTTTGTGGTTTTATTATCTTCAGTGAAGAATGCCTTTTCCTGGGATATATATATGCTTGATTTGGTTCGTGTCGACTTGGCAGGTATTGCAAGTGCGAAATGCCTTATAATCCCGATGATCTAATGGTTCAGTGTGAGGGCTGTACTGATTGGTAAGCTGGAAGCCTTTGGACATGTCTCTTGATCCATTGTAGATAGAACCTTACTTGTTGATGAGGCTACTTGAAACATAGGGTTCATTTGGTTTTTCTCAATGGCTCAAGTTGTTGGCACTATTTACTCAGTCAATGACGGCAGAGTTAAATTAACACTGAGACGGATGGCCCATAAAAAGAAAAAAGGAAAAAAAAAAAAAGCACTGGGTGCTTGTATGTATGATGGTATTGGCCTTTTGTCCTCGACAACTTTGCTTGAAAGTCTAAGTTGGGAATACTTCTTCTCATTTTCTACTTCCTGTATCTGGAAACTTTCATCAGCTAGTATTAGCTTAGCAAAGAAGGATTTGGAATTTCGTCACGTGAACAAATTTGTCCACGATCTAACTGTGGCGGGGATTGGAAAGTGGACTTCATATAAAGAACGATAAATCTACTTTTCTTTTGTTTTTGGTGAGTCTGGAATGGAATGTTGCTGAAAGGTCTTGCATATCCTTGGGCAGGTTATGTTGGAACCAGGCAAGTATCAGTTCATTGGAAATATATTCCTCTTTGGTGAAAAAGCCAATTGTTAGAAATTTTTTTTATGCTATAACAAATGCAAAAGACTTTAGGAGTAGGAGAGTATCATAATGATTGGGTATTACAGGTGCCACCTGACCTGGTTATAAGTTTTTGTTAATGCCGTTTTTCAATCATCTAGATCGATAACCTAATACAGCACACCTCCCAAGGCATAAAAGGGAAGTAACATTTTGGTGGGATATATATGGGCTACATGTCGGAGGCATTTCCATGAAGCTTTAGGGTGTATCATGGATCGTATCACTTCGATTTTTTTTTTGGGTGAAAAAGGGTGCAAGGCGAGATTACAAAAACCAGCTTTTACTAAGAGAAATTCCTTCTTTATCTCCTAATAAAGCATAAGACAATTTTTGCGGCAGTCAAGGAACTGTGACTACTTTTTTGTCAGTTTCAGCAGTTACTCATAGCATGGGTTGATTAAGGTGAACTTTCAGCCGTTAATAATATATTTAGCCCACCTTGATGCTCTCGTGCACAATATCCGGTTACATCTATGAATGCTTACGATTGCCACAAAAAAGAAAGAAAGAAAGAAAAAGAGCATGCGAACTAGATTTCTGCTTTCACTTACTTTTGTACATAACAGTGAGCTTCTCCACTGGGTATTAATTGTACATTTTATTGACATTATCCCCACAAGCCCATGTTCGCCTTTTATCTTGCACGACATTATATGCACTTGGGGTAGATGCCACAAGCTGGCAATATGCATCTTTTGGCATATGCATGTGTCGCATTATCCAAGCAAGAGGGGGAGGAAGGATTAGTTGGAGGAATCTAAGGACAGTAAATGCAAGTTTTAGTGGTTGTTCTAGTTACTACTAAACTTTTAAGTCATACTCACTGCATGTTTTAAAGTTTGTCATGATGTCAGTGCTAATCCTGACTGAGCTGCTCTAAGTGGTCTCTAGTTATTGTTGGGTAAGTATTAATTTTTACTGGTGCATATGCGACGCACATTTTGAAAGGTTGAATGGGTTTACAATGTTTCCGTTACCAAGGATTATGTTAACGTCTTGGATAAGACTATTTATGCAAAGAAACTGTTTATGAACGGAAAAATGGTTATTAAGCATGCTATTTCTAGTTTTTAGCGTAGCGTCCTACTCTTCTGTGGGCCAATACTTGTCATTTTCTATGTTTTGCCTAAACAGGCATTCTTTTGGTTTATGGTATTGCCCTCAGTTGCTATTTCAAAAAGTTAATTAGATAGATAAGTTCGGAACATCCATATATCTCTGTGGTCGTTGGAATGTGTGGATTCTTTTTATTATATAGGAGAAACTCATGTCGGGGTAATCAGGGTCAATATTGGCATGATGAGTGATTAAGTGTTTTGAATATTGTATCTCTTGTGAAGGGTCAATGGAAGGAGGAAAAAGGTATAGTTTTCTTGAGCAAGTTATAAGAGTGATTTGTATGGAAATTGAATATATCGCTGGTCATTCTACTATTAGAAATCAACTTTTTTATTTGGTCACTTTTTGCAATTTATAGCTAAGTAATTCAGCACCCATGTTGAAATTACTGACCTCCCAATATTGTTGGAACTGGAATTCGTGTATGAACTCTTGATTTTTGTCTTCGGCCAGTGCCAGAGTGGACACTGTGATCATCTACTTGCATTCATTAAAGTTCCATGGATATGAGTGGTTATTATCTTTGAGTGCTACCGTTATTCAATTATAACAAGCAGTCAATAGATAGACCACTTCCCTATTAAGTGTGCTGATTAAGAGCCTTTAGTGGCGTTACCATTTATAGTGAAAAATGTCGTACGATCCGATCCAGGTAGGGCGTCCATCATAGTAACCGTCTTGGAAGGATTCATATGTAAATTAAGATTGAGCAAGTTCTCCAAAAACTGTCGGCTCCTTGTTTTCCGACTGGTCCATCAGATATTCATGTAAGCAGTTATAGTCTCTCGATATAGTTCAAAAGATAATACTGATAGTCGGTTTGGTAGCTGGAGCCAAGTCAAATAGACAAAATATGGAGTAGTGAGAGAAGTGAGTTCTCTTGTGTATTAGCTTTAGTAGCCTGCTGCATGTCTGTCTCTCCCTCTCTTTTTCCCGGATTGGATCTGGGTTCTCGTTCTTGAACACCCTTCCACTGCTGCACCACAAAAGTAAGCAAAGAAAGAAAGCCAAGTGGCTGCATAACTATTTTCATACGAAGTACTCACGGTGAATTAGCAATTTCACAAAAAGAACATGTAAAGATGAAGTATGCATGTGACTTTAAGAAAATGATCGGTGCAAACTTTAGCATGGTCTTCTTTTGATTCAGGTTTCATCCTACTTGTATAGACATGTCGGTAGACGAAGCCAAAAGACTTGACCACTTCTACTGTGAAAGCTGCTCAGCAGAAGGAAAGAAGCTGCAAAATTCTCACTCTGCTTCCAGGCTTGTGGCAGATACAAAGGTTAGCTGAGTTGTTTCAGCAATGGTCTGTTTACTTCTTTGGTTCATCATTGCGCGAACTGGTTGACTTCAGTGCCCTCCTGAACAAGTGATATACCCTAAGATAGATTGATACTTGAGATCGGTTTTCTCCTATCATTTATACTATCCTTGCGTGTCTATTATGAAGTTCTAATATTGCTTGGTGTTCAATGCATCCAAGCTAAAGTCCATTTTATTCCCCTAATTGACATCATAATTATATTCCTGTTGCTGATTTTCAGGTGGATACGAAACGTCGGCGGAGGTGACGACTGTATAAAATGGGTAGATGTCTGCTAAATTTGGATTCTAAAGTACCTCATGACAGAATCTGCCGTTTTAGTTTGGAGCCTGTAGGAGGATAAACTGGTGTGAAAATCTGTGGTCTGTCCTTTGGTTTGATTGGGAGTCAACCCTGTTTTGCTTAGGTCGAGAAAACGTGTTAATCATCTGTGATTATGTAGATACCCTTTCTTCTGGTTTTCTTGTTTATATCTCACCTCGTAGCTCATGTATTATTCTGACAAGTAAACTTATCTCCGTGTAAGAGCGATAGATACATCTGGGTTATAGAGGTAATTGATCCCTCCAAAGTTTGAGTCACTCTTGGACTGAGGAATTCATGATATTGTTATTTAATTAGGTAAGAGTGCTAAGTTATAAAAATTATGCGGTGTATCATTACTGAAAAATTGCTGTAGTAGTTCGTTTTGTCCCTTTCTAGTTTTCTGATCAGGAAACATGGTATGGTGAATGTTATGATTTTCATTCAAGTAACGGGAAGATTGATGTTTGTCCCGTGAAATGGGTAGGAATTAATAAATATCTAGTTCGGAAAGGAATATGTGCAGCATAGACATGAAATAGCTGACGGTTCGGTCTCATTGAAGGAGAAAAATATGTTAAATCACCTGCTCACGAAAGATCTAACGGGGAAATCTAGGTTTGTTCTTCCCAAGGGCTTTGGTGGGTCAATAGATCCGGAATTGCTCGTTTCTCTTACTCTCCTTAAGCCAACATCTTTGTTCACCAACTGCAACCTTGGGCTTCAGATTGAGTATTAGTTTTAACTGGTCTGCGAAGCAATTCTTGGGTTGTCACTTGTACCGTGAACTTCACCTATCAAATATGAGATCAGGGTATACAACCGAGAACTGTAAATCCAAAGCTTAATCTGAGCAAAAGAAAAGGCAACAGTTTTCACTGCGTGTGGATTTGGTTCAGTACAAAGGCAACAGACTGAGTCGACCACAAGATAATATTAAGCTCACACGTTTCTTTTTCCCCCTCCATTTGTTATCGAACACACTCTCGTGGAGCAAATGCATAGATGGGTGCCGATCTCTTGAATTTAAATTTTGTTGTAGGCACGCGTTCATGGAGCAAAGCGTGTAAAGACATTCCATCTCGCAAACTGTAGACAAGTAGATTTGTGAATATCGCCATGGTTGAGGCACGAGATGGTCTTGTGCTCACACTCAGAGAGAAGCTTGTATCTTGGGCAAAGTAGAAAACTGAACGATTAGAGAAAAAAAGTAGTCTTTATTCTTAGCAAAAGGGGCCCTGAAAGAGATGATGATTCACATATGAGAAGAGCCAACGAATAATAGAGGGATCGACGCCAGAGAGGAACTGGTACTGGCAAAAAAGAAACCTGAACGACTAGAGGAAAAAGTACCGATTACCCTAACAAAAGCTACTCTGGAAGAGATGATGATTCACATATGAGAGAGCTCAACAAATGATAGAAGAATTGACGCCATGTAACTCCAATCGTAGTGAGAAGTCAATGCAACCCGGAGCAGAGATCAGCTCGATTCGTTGACTGGGTACCAATATCGGTTGTGGAACCATAAAGAATCGGCCTCTGCAGCAACTCCATCATCGTTGCGGTTCCAACTGTAGTATGCATGTGTTCGGTTCTTGATGTCGAAAATGGCGTGCCCGAAACTTGCTTCACGGTAAGCAGAGTAATCTGGCTGTGGCTCTGTCATGCTGCTCCACAAAAAATCATACATTCACTTTTCTAGAGCACAAAATGCAGGCAAATAAACTTTGGATTGGGAAAGAATGGAGTGTTTCATTCTATTACTTCTTTGCTAAGCCTTCTATGTTCCCTCCGTCGCCTATGGTTATATAGACAGGTGCCTTTGGATCAGACACGGGAGTAGCCAGACCATTTGTAATGTTGTATGCTACGTTTGATATGCGTTCCTGTAGACAGACGATGCATCATATTTCAAGAAAACACGATGGTAAAATCATTACTTTACACAGAGATAGAAAAAGTGAAGCTTACGGTTCTTTCATAAGCATGCACATGACCGGCAAACACGACGTCAACCTTGTGCTCAACAAACCACGGCTCAAAAACTACTCTCATGGATTCTCCTTCCATGTAGTGGTAATTGTAGCTATTATACCATGGAGTGTGCATGAGAACGATCAGCCACGGCGTCTCGCTCCTGTTCACTTTTGGCAGCTCTTCTTTAAGCCATTGGTACTGAGGAGTGTATATAGCTGAAAGGACGAGGCACGGAGCATTAAAGCGATAAGCAAAAATATTCCGATATCACTAATACGACCTGTAAAGATCCTTACAATATGCCGAATAAGAAGACAATACTATGATATAAGCAGAAGCTCTCTTTATGGAGTACCACAAAGGGCTGGTACTGTTTGAATCCCTGTATGGGACTTCGTACCGGTGCAAATACGGTTTAAATGGCGTATATTCACCCTGAAACACAAGTAACCCTCCTCAGTGATGAGTCAGAATCCAACTGGTTACGATGTTAAAAGGCTGGGAGAATCAGAAACAGCAAAGATGTCTGCTTTTCGATTGAGGTCCAGAGACTTTTATGAAAAATCTTACAATTTCAGGGCAATAATCAATCTCATGATTTCCCGCAACCCAGATCCAATGCTGATAAGCCACGCTTCTCTCGACGAACCTCCCCCAACTATCCCACCTCAAATTGTTGTGCAGTGGATGATCATCTGCGTAAGAGAGGTCCCCGACGAACAACACTGACTTCGGATTATATGGGTTTTGCTCATAATGAGTTAGCGTCACATTGGAATCATGTGTCTGACCCAGATCCCCTGCAAGAAAATGAATAGATAAACAAGATTGACAGAAGTTAAAGAGTTGATATCGAATTTCCAAAGAGAATCTTGGGAATTGGGCATAGAGCATTGTGTCATGTTCAAAGCTATTACAGATCAAGTTATGTAATTTAGTCAGACCGAAATTTTCTTTTCACTACCAAAATCATCTGGTCTTGCTTTGAAACCAAATATTGACATTCGACACCAGAACCAACTCTTTAACGCATCACCATATTCTACAGAGAAACTTACCGATTAGACCGAAAGTGTATGGGACGTCAGGGCCAACTTCAGGAGGGGTCACAAACCAGAATTGTCGCCGGACGTGTCCCGACCCGACTATGTAGTGATACTTCGTGTCAGGCTGCAATCAATGTAGATGGATTAAAAAGAAGCCACCAAAGCTGGGATCGCTTCACTACATGCTTCAAACAAAAGTAGCGGAAGAGCGAAAAGGTCTAATTAAGCAAACCCAAAAGAAGCTATTATTCACCTCTAAATCTTTGATAGTGCAATGGTGAATGTAACCCGAAGTGTAGTTGTAGTACTTGTAAGTAGTGACAACGGTGTTCTCCGAGTGCTTCTTCTTCTGGTTCTTTTCGCTCCAGTAATGCACTCTATTGGAGCCGGGTTCATCAGGAGTCACCCACGACACAATCGCTGCCTTGCCGACATGATCTCCTTGTGTTATGTGAACCTGAAACACATTGCTCGAGGCGCGAGTTAAACGTAATCACCGGTCCTGCAGAACATGAACCTGTTTTCTTTTGTCAAGAGTAGAAGCTAAAAAATCGAAATCGCACCTGTTGTGGGGCATTATATCCAGTAGGCGCAGCAAAGACATCACTGTCGAAGGGCATATCCACAGACGGCCAAACTTTCCTAACAAAAGGACTTGTCGTTCCTCCATCGCAGAACACAGCAACTATCAGGACACATGCAAGGACCGCCAAGCAATACGTCAAGGCGGATGAGCCAATTGCAAAGGAGTGCGAACCCATCACTTCTCAGCCTGTGAATCTTCGTTAACTTTTCGTCAGGGCTCGAGTGCTCTTATATACGTGATGAGTTCACCTGAATATGTGGGGAATATTCTTACCTTCCCAGGAATTTCAGGGATATTTAGTTCACCTGAATTTGATCACTTAGAAACCGGATCGTATTCAAACAGTGAACTCAACAGAAAAGTTCTTTTTGATTGGGTCTATCCAGATTTTTCATGCGTTCAAAAAATCTGCACTTGGATATTGGTGAAGTAGAAGTTATTCGTGAATCTCTCTCTCCTTGAGAGACAGGAAGCTAGTCGATATCAACTCCAAGTATCTTTAACCTTATAACTACAAGTTAATGAAATTTCTTAGGCTATGGTTACCTTTTGTGGTGACGTATTAATCTACAATCCCATATTGATAAACACGACAACTATCACGCACACATCGTATCACATGCTCTCTAGGATAAATGAAACACTCTTATTCTTACCCTAGCGCTCAACCTAATTCTGTCTTCTAACTTTAGTTTTCTTAAACCAAAGTTCTCAATTTGATCTGACACTATACTCTCCTGCTCAGGACTACCTAACATGTTTTTGGTTTAGTGAATTGACGGATATCTGTTTACGGGGTCTGGTAAAGTATATCTTTGTCCATTTGAAGGAATTTACTCAAAGAATTATTGCTTGTTAATCTAAAAAACTTTATTATGATTATAACATGAAAAGTATGTCTTTTGCATGTATCTTTCTAGATATGACCAATACTTATCACCGCAACATAGGAACTGTATTGTTGACTCAAAATTATCATTTATTGGCAAAAGTATTACAGACATGTTTATTAGGAACTCCAACAATCAAAGATGTGCAGTGTACTGAAATTCCCTTATGAATCTTTCATTAAAATTCAAAAAAAAAAAACAAAACAAAAGTCTGTTACAAAACATAGTACAATAGACTCCAGCAAGCCTAAGTGCCGAACTTTTATTTGCTTGGAAATGTATTGAGGAAATCCATAGAGAAAACTTGTCCTCTCCTGTGATGACCATCAAATGCTTGTAGAATCATCAACTGGATGCCAGATTCTATTGAAGAACCACATAGAGTCGGCTTCCACCGCATATCCATCCTGATTTCTGTGCCAACTATAATATGCGTGCGTTCGGTTCTTAATATTGAAAATCGCGTGGCCAAAGCTGGCTTCGCGGTAGGCCGAGTATTTTGGCTGGGGTTCCATCATGCTGCATTACAAAATCAGATATTTACACACCCAACAGCAACCCAGAATAGTCATGAATAAGTTAGGCAGTGTTTTGTGAGGCAGCTCATCTTACTTGGTGGCCAAACCTTCAAGATTGCCTCCATCGCCAATCGTTATGTACACTGGAGCTGATTGATTATGAACAGGGACGCACAATCCGTTCACAATGTTGTATGCAGTGTTGGATACACGTTCCTGTGACACTCATCAATCAGCCAGCGATTTCTTAGATTCAAA